CCAGACTAGACACCCCTGTCCACCAGCTGCGCCCAGACTAGACACCCCAGTCCACCAGCTGCGCCCAGACTAGACACCCCTGTCCACCAGCTGCGCCCAGACTAGACACCCCAGTCCACCAGCTGCGCCCAGACTAGACACCCCAGTCCACCAGCTGCGCCCAGACTAGACACCCCAGTCCACCAGCTGCGCCCAGACTAGACACCCCAGTCCACCAGCTGCGTCCAGACTAGACACCCCAGTCCACCAGCTGCACCCAGACTATACACCCCAGTCCACCAGCTGCGCCCAGACTAGACACACCTGTCCACCAGCTGCGCCCAGACTAGACACCCCTGTCCACCAGCTGCGCCCAGACTAGACACCGCTGTCCACCAGCTGCGCCCAGACTAGACACCCCTGTCCACCAGCTGCGCCCAGACTAGACACCCCTGTCCACCAGCTGCGCCCAGACTAGACACCCCAGTCCACCAGCTGCGCCCAGACACCCCAGTCCACCAGCTGCGCCCAGACACCCCTGTCCACCAGCTGCGCCCAGACTAGACACCCCTGTCCACCAGCTGCGCCAAGACTAGAAACCCTTGTCCACCAACTGCGCCCAGACTAGACACCCCAGTCCACCAGCTGCGCCCAGACTAGACACCCCAGTCCACCAGCTGCGCCCAGACCAGACACCCCTGTCCACCAGCTGCGCCCAGACTAGACACCCCAGTCCACCAGCTGCGCCCAGACTAGACACCCCAGTCCACCAGCTGCGCCCAGACTAGACACCCCAGTCCACCAGCTGCGTCCAGACTAGACACCCCAGTCCACCAGCTGCGTCCAGACTAAACACCCCAGTCCACCAGCTGCGCCCAGACTAGACACCCCTGTCCACCAGCTGCGCCCAGACTAGACACCCCTGTCCACAAGCTGCGCCCAGACTAGACACCCCTGTCCACCAGCTGCGCCCAGACTAGACACCCCAGTCCACCAGCTGCGCCCAGACTAGACACCCCAGTCCACCAGCTGCGTCCAGACTAAACACCCCAGTCCACCAGCTGCGCCCAGACTAGACACCCCTGTCCACCAGCTGCGCCCAGACTAGACACACCTGTCCACCAGCTGCGCCCAGACTAGACACCCCTGTCCACCAGCTGCGCCCAGACTAGACACCCCAGTCCACCAGCTGCGTCCAGACTAGACACCCCAGTCCACCAGCTGCGTCCAGACTAGACACCCCAGTCCACCAGCTGCGCCCAGACACCCCAGTCCACCAGCTGCGCCCAGACACCCCTGTCCACCAGCTGCGCCCAGACTAGACACCCCTGTCCACCAGCTGCGCCAAGACTAGAAACCCTTGTCCACCAACTGCGCCCAGACTAGACACCCCAGTCCACCAGCTGCGCCCAGACTAGACACCCCAGTCCACCAGCTGCGCCCAGACTAGACACCCCTGTCCACCAGCTGCGCCCAGACTAGACACCCCAGTCCACCAGCTGCGTCCAGACTAGACACCCCAGTCCACCAGCTGCGTCCAGACTAGACACCCCAGTCCACCAGCTGCGCCCAGACTAGACACCCCAGTCCACCAGCTGCGCCCAGACTAGACACCCCTGTCCACCAGCTGCGCCCAGACTAGACACCCCTGTCCACCAGCTGCGCCCAGACTAGACACCCCAGTCCACCAGCTGCACCCAGACTAGACACCCCTGTCCACCAGCTGCGCCCAGACTAGACACCCCAGTCCACCAGCTGCGCCCAGACTAGACACCCCAGTCCACCAGCTGCGTCCAGACTAGACACCCCAGTCCACCAGCTGCGTCCAGACTAAACACCCCAGTCCACCAGCTGCGCCCAGACTAGACACCCCTGTCCACCAGCTGCGCCCAGACTAGACACCCCTGTCCACAAGCTGCGCCCAGACTAGACACCCCTGTCCACCAGCTGCGCCCAGACTAGACACCCCTGTCCACCAGCTGCGCCCAGACTAGACACCCCAGTCCACCAGCTGCGCCCAGACTAGACACCCCTGTCCACCAGCTGCGCCCAGACTAGACACCCCAGTCCACCAGCTGCGCCCAGACTAGACACCCCAGTCCACCAGCTGCGCCCAGACTAGACACCCCAGTCCACCAGCTGCGCCCAGACTAGACACCCCAGTCCACCAGCTGCGTCCAGACTAGACACCCCAGTCCACCAGCTGCGCCCAGACTAGACACCCCAGTCCACCAGCTGCGCCCAGACTAGACACACCTGTCCACCAGCTGCGCCCAGACTAGACACCCCTGTCCACCAGCTGCGCCCAGACTAGACACCGCTGTCCACCAGCTGCGCCCAGACTAGACACCCCTGTCCACCAGCTGCGCCCAGACTAGACACCCCTGTCCACCAGCTGCGCCCAGACTAGACACCCCTGTCCACCAGCTGCGCCCAGACTAGACACCCCAGTCCACCAGCTGCGCCCAGACTAGACACCCCAGTCCACCAGCTGCGCCCAGACTAGACACCCCTGTCCACCAGCTGCGCCCAGACTAGACACCCCTGTCCACCAGCTGCGCCCAGACTAGACACCCCTGTCCACCAGCTGCGCCCAGACTCGACACCCCGTCCACCAGCTGCGCCCAGACTAGACACCCCAGTCCACCAGCTGCGTCCAGACTAGACACCCCAGTCCACCAGCTGCGCCCAGACTAGACACCCCAGTCCACCAGCTGCGTCCAGACTAGACACCCCGTCTTATTCTTAACACACAACGTGACGTACACACATTCAACAGACCTGAAATTTCTCAAGCCGAGTCCTCTCGAAAGAGACTTTTAGATAATGGGTCCACTCAATGATGGGTCCACTCGATGATGGGTCCACTCGATGATGGGTCCACTCGATGATGGGTCCACTCGATGATGGGTCCACTCGATGATGGGTCCACTCGATGATGGGTCCACTCGATGATGGGTCCACTCGATGATGGGTCCACTCGATGATGGTCCACTCGATGATGGTCCACTCGATGATGGGTCCACTCGCTGATGTGTGCACTCGATGATGGGTCCACTCGATGATGGGTCCACTCGATGATGTGTGCACTCGATGATGGGTCCACTCGATGATGGGTCCACTTGATGATGGGTCTACTCGATGATGTGTGCACTCGATGATGGGTCCACTCGATGATGGGTCCACTCGATGATGGGTCCACTCGATGATGGGTCCACCCGATCATGGGTCCACTCGATCATGGGTCCACTCGATCATGGGTCCACCCGATCATGGGTCCACTCGATCATGGGTCCACTCGATCATGGGTCCACTCGATCATGGGTCCACTCGATCATGGGTCCACTCGATCATGGGTCCACCCGATCATGGGTCCACTCGATGATGGGTCCACTCGATGATGGGTCCACTCGATCATGGGTCCACTCGATCATGGGTCCACCCGATCATGGGTCCACTCGATCATGGGTCCACTCGATGATGGGGCCACTCGATGATGGGTCCACTTGATGATGGGTCCACCAGATCATGGGTCCACCCGATAATTTTCTGCTAAGTAGCTTCATGTCATCACACCGATGTTAGCCCCAACTTCTAATGGCAGTTCCGTTATCCAGATCAAACTGTGGTGAAATAAGTTAACATAATAAATAATTTTGTAATATTGTTTGTCATCTTAGCGACGAATTAAAAATTCCCTCACCCTTCCCACCTACCCCCCCCCCCCCCCCACTAAAAAAATTGACAGTTGGGCTAGTTTATTCGCCTTGGCAATTGACAAGTATAAAAATGTGATTTATTTTAACGCTTTGGGTGATTTTCACACAAAATAATCCCAAATAAAGTTCAAAATAAAACTTTAGAAATGCATAACCATGAAATGTGGTTTGTCAACCAGCTATCTTTGATTTGAGGTCATTAGCCAACACATGTGTCTTGTGAACGATGCTATATTATAAATATAGTTTCTGATGGTACACGACATTTACATCTTAATTACCAAACTCACAGAATTCATTCCAATATTTTATTAATCTAATCCCAATATTGAAACCCACTCTATGCAAGATTTGCGGCTTTAATCCTTGATACAACCGTAGTGTGGAGCGTAGTGTTGTGAGTAAATCGGCACAAGATACACCACCGACCTAGACCTTCCTGGTGATTTGTATGGCTCCAAAGTTAAATGCTGCGAGTAGGGGAGGGGAATTTAACACCAGAATACATTTTTTTTAATAATGCGATCATCAATAGTTCACACATCATAACAAGGTGTAAGTGTAACTATAATCAACTGGGCGAGGGGTGGACAGTTGGGGGTCATTTAAACAACGAAGCTATATTTCTAGAATACGGGAAAGCAAAGTTTGAAGCTGGCATTTCATTGTTTTCATTGCTATTGACTACACTCCTTTATTCTAGTTTAATGCACTTGACTTTATTTTTCTTTCAACTGTCAAATAAACTGTGGTTTACAGTAACGAATGTTACCGAAACTCAACGAACATTACCCAATAATTTCCGACGCTATATCGTGATTTTACCCCAAAACGTTAGGAAAACATTGGGCTTATTTCTTTATGAAGTTTTGATTTAGTTTTGATAATTTAATTTTGTCAAAACTTGAGAAAAATCCAAATTTGGAATATTGAATGCTATAAATAAACTTTTATGAACTCACGATGACTCCAAAACTGAGGCAACACCATTTCAATATGGCCCAAGCTATGACGTATGCTGATAATTATTAATTGTTAATTATTAAAGTCAATGTGAACTCACGGTAAACCCTTGATCTTGTAGGGATTTTTCTCCCGCTGACAATCACACGCTATTTAATTGGAACTGTCCTAATGCTTTTTTATGTTGTTTTTTTAATTTACCTTATCTAATTAAAACTCACATTTATATAAAACATAAATAGATTTAGCCATCTAGATTCTAGCTCTAATCCTAGTGTTTTCCTAACGTTTTTGTGTGTTTCGGTTGTGTTTAGAGTAGTAGACTATCTCATTATCATTCATAGCCTAATCATAGCAGACTAAATTCATTCTAGATCTAGATCTAGATCTATGTCTAATACTACAGTAATAGTCAAATTAATTAAATAATTTTAAATAAGCCTGTTTAATATAGCCTATAATTGTAATAGGCATAATGCCTAATTCAGCCCTAATAATTTATTTATCTTAATGTCAGCTGAGAAACGTAAAATAAATGAAAATTAATAAATTCAGGGGAAGCCACTCTAACTTACAGATGGCCGCTTTTTATATAGATCTAGCAAATCCTGCTCGCAAACACTGTAGTGTTGTTTAAAGTTAATTTCTTGACTATATACTATATTGATATATTTAGCCATTCATTTAGGTTTATTATTCATTTATTTGTAATATTTGGCACAAATATATCGCAATATAATATATATATATATATTACTTGAATTAATAGAAGTATATAGGCCTACTATATATATTACTTGAATATACTTCTATTAATTTAAAGCCTTGACAATCAGGTAACTATCGTACATTTACTAGATCTAGCCGTGGCGATTTTACGTACCTAAAACAATAGATTACCAAGAAAAAATATGGTTTCTAGATCTAAAACGGTGAACGGAAAAGAAAGTCACTATGGAAAAATTTTATCGGAAAAAAGTCACAGAAATAAAGTCACAGAAAAAAAGTCACAACATTTTTTTTTAGAAATATTTTGATTTATTTGTTGAAAATAAAAAATTTTTGTATGTTTATTGTTGTGGGTTGTATTTTTTTATAGCATATATTATTTATAGACGTTAAAAGCATTATGGTTTATAACAATTGTAAGTAAAAATACTCTAAGATAATTTACACAACAATCTCAACTTTTGTTACGTATTTAGTTAAATACGCGGTGAAAAAATTAATTATAAAAGAAGTTACGGCACATCATTGTGTTTTTCATATGTTTTGCCGTAAGCTATTCTCTGGTCGGCCTCTCCTCAGTTGGCCTTGTCCGAACATATTGTGTGTTGTTGACGTTTTGTGTCTATGACATCCTTTGAACCTTGTCGGCTTTCTGTTTTGATCCTATGCTTTGATACGGAATGAGCGTGATAAATATGGGCAGTAAAGGTGGTTGAACTAAACATACCAATTGTTGCGAATAGTTGAGGGCAGCAAATCAGATGAACTTATTATTTCACTGTAATTTAATGTTAGTATTTTTTAAAAAAACACCATGAAAACAGAGGACGTTGGAACATTCTATTAAATGCTATAAATATTATGTTTAACATAATTACCATCTACATACTTCAGACTAAATATTTTAGATGAATTATAAAAATTACCATGCGTACACAACTGCACACATTACAGTTAATTAATCATAAGTTAATTTGCACTCTCTGAATATATAATTCATAAAAGTATTAACAAATTCCATGCAAAAATATATTTGTGACTTTTTTTCTGTGTTTTTTTTTTCCTGTGACTTTTTTTCCTACAATCTCTATAACATTTATTTATTTATTTTACAGGCAAACCTACTTAGGCCCTAATCTTAATTAAAATAAAACTACTAGACTAAATTAAATTATGGGGAAGTTAAAAATCTTTGAGATATCCTTTGGTAATGGAAGCGGTGTGTACTTTCCTGGCAATGCTGTGGATGGTCATGTTACCATAGAACTTAAAAAATCAATGAAAATGAGAGGTTGGTGCGGCAGTTCAAATTTTTAAGATTTAATTAGGTTGTGTTAAGGAATTTGTATTTTTGTATCAGTTATTTTCTATTCTTTATTTTTAAAGGGTTAAGATTGAAATTTGAAGGCAAAGCGCATGTTTATTGGAGTGAAGAAAGTGGAACAGGAGATGATAAGAAAACCTACTATTATTCTGCTACTGAAAAATATTTTGATCAGGAAGTTCTCCTTTTTGGCATATGTAAGTGCTAATATTGTTTACATAATAGAATTAAATAGAATTATTAAAATGTTACTAATGCTAGCAGTTCATATTTATTTAAAAATGGCAAAAAAAATGTCTTTAAATTTAGAGATTCACTATTTTAAAAATCCCTTAATGTACTTTATTACTTAAGCTTTCAAGATATTAGTGGCGAGTTATCTCTTTCTTATCAGGAACTAATAATTCTTTCACACTGTCTATGTGTTATTGTGTACAGGGCCTAATCAAGGCAGTGAAGCAAAGGAACTACCATCAGGCAGACACACCTTCCCTTTTCAGTTCATCCTACCACTTGGACTGCCCTCATCATATGAAGCAGGGATTGGTTATGTTAGATACATTGTGACCTGTAACATTGACAGGCCATGGAAATTTGACCCCAAGACTAAGAGACCATTTACCATTATCGCACTGCTGGATTTAAACCAGCAACCCAACTGCATGGTGAATATACAGTTCTTTTTATCATTTGTACATTCATATAATATTTAACAATTCTAATGATAAAAAATTGTATCAGACCTAAACTATTTCTAAAACGGTTTTAAATCTTAAAAATCAACTTCCCAGTTTGTATCTCCTTATGAATTCCAACTACAGTTTTTATTAATTTTTATTTCAACAACAAAAAATGCAAGTGTATCTGACTGCATCCTCTCCTTTTTACAATTTTCCCTTCCCCCATTGTAATTAAATGATAGAGCCTTACCCACTCTCCACCTAAAATGACATCACACTTGAGTCTCAACCCTCTCCCAAGAAGAAATTATAATTTTTTAAAGCCATGATTTCTTTTTAAAATGTTATCTGACCTTGTCATCATTAGGAATATTGACCAATTTTAACTACATCTTACACAAATGCCTATAAAAACGCAAAGTAACTGCTAAGTTTCAGTTTCAAAAACAACTTTATTAAATGAAAAGTGTTAACGTCATAATACATCCTCACTTGAGTCTGAAATGCCTCACACTTGGAGTGTGATGTCATCTGTTTACAACCTCAACAGCTTTTTAATATGCATCTGTTTTTTTCCTATTAAAAATTATGTTATTATCCTAGCAACCTTTACAAGCTACAAGTAAGAAGCATTTGTGTTGCCTATGCTGTAAGTCTGGACCTATCGAAGCCACCTTCAAAATAGAAAGACAAGGCTTTGTGCCAGGGGAGGCAATTAAACTGTTTGCTGAAATAAGCAATGGCTCTAATAGAAAGATGAGCAAATCATATGTCGATCTAAAAATGGTAACTTCTATAAACAATTGTTTGCAAATTTACATTATTACATTATTAAAAAGCTTATAAAATAGTTATAGCCATAACATTTTAAAAATACTTGACAGTTCATAATTTTTCTAGATTTGGCCCTGAAATAAATTCTTACTTGCCAGATATCGACATTTCGTGCAACTAATAAGACCAAAATTGTTGTGAGAAACGTAGCTAGGGTGACACGCCCACCCATAGAAAAACAAAGCGAGGACACTTGGTCTGGAGAAGAGCTAGTTATCCCGCCACTGCCCCCTTCATTTTTAGCGGGTTGTAACATTATTGATGTCCGCTATGTGCTACAGGTGGGAGCCATTGTTTTCTGTTATGTACTGTCTTATTTAAATTTGAACTCCTAATCAGAAAAAATGTTTTATCTAAAAAAGGTTTAAATAGAATATTACAAAGAAAGTTGTTTTAAAACTAAGACGCATTTTTGTTGCTTTTTTTTTTCTTCAAAACATTAAGTAATTTCCAAGATTTCGATTTCAGTCCCAAATATCTGTTAAATTATAAAAATCAAATAATAAAAATTGTTTTGTCTCCACTAGCCATTAAATGAGATTGTATTAGCACTTTTGTCTCCATCAACCATGATATAAGATTATATAAGTATTTTGTCTCCACCAGCTATTGTATTTGTATGAGATTATATGAGTGTTATATCTCCACCATCTATATTATGAGATTATGTAAGCTTTTTGCCTCCACCAACCGTTAAATGTGTTTTATAAACATTGTCTCCATTAGCTGAATGTTGATCCATCAGGACTTGGCCTAGACCTAGAAGTCCCCTTTGAGATTATCATTGGCAGCGTTCCCCTAATGTCAGTGGTGCAGATGTTCCCTCCCATGTTACCCCCACCACAGATAATGGACAGGATGTATGCCTGGGGCACAGTCCCTTCAGCCCCAGCCACTGAAGATCTATACCCATACCCACCACCCAGTGGTATTCCTAACTTGCGTATGTATAGAATTTTTTTTAGTTAAGTATTTTCAGTTAATGTTATTATTTTTAAAAAATTAGGTGTTTTCTACAATACAAACTCCCTTTTTTATGATTAAGCTACCAAGGGATGCAAATTTTAAAAATTTTTGTCATAAAACAAAGTGGCAACCAAAATGTATATGTTTATCCAAAAAAAATTTGGTATTGTTTATTATGTCAGTGTCATCTTGTGTATAAAGAGGATTGTTTTGGACATTATCTGCTCATCAACAAGAAAACAATACCTTTAAAAGCCTCTACTTAGCTGATAGAAAGCCACATATTTCTCTTGCTGATTCAGCTTTTATCATATAAGTAAATTTAACTTGAATGTTCTACAAAAATTGTCACTATACGAAGAGAGCAAACTCATAACTGTTTGCCATATAAATGTATTTTTCCTTAACTTGATATTGTGAAAGCAAATGAACATGACTTAATGTAGCGGATTGTTATTAGGATAACTAAAAGAAATAACCACACATGTAAATGTGATGTATAAACAAACTGTCATTTCAGCCCCTCCTTCATACAATGAATGTATCACTGGCCGCTACAATATCACAGAAGAAGGAGATGATGAACACACAACAGGAAAGCTTGAATACACCCCAGTCTATCCCTACTACAATTGGGGGCACACACCAGGAGCATTGCCAGACGGAGGTGCATAAGGCTTGGACTAGAAAACATCAGCCATTTATTCCATTTCTTTCCCATAATAATCCTGTCTTTTTCAATGTGATCCTTGATATTTTTTCCATGATATTCTTTGTCTTGTAATACTCGTTGCTGGTTTCCTCAATGTATAGTCTATCCATCTCCATTGTACTTTTAGAATTTCTTGCTCTACTAGGATTTCTCCTGTATTTTCCCATACTGCTGTGTAAGTACGTTGTCCAATTTATATTTTCTATTCAACATAGCAGCTTTTTAAAGAGACTACTGTCATTTCCTCCTTTTTTTAGTTCCAGTCTTCACACTATACACTAAAGCAGATTTTACACTTTAATTAATAATTCAAAAGTTGGTCTTATTCGCTATTTCTTTCAAGCTCCATATATTTTTAAGAGCTGCAAAAGCTCCTCTTTCCTTCTGATAGTGATATTTTGCCTTGAAGTAAGCTCTTGAGCCCCCATCGTTACCAGCTCTGCCTCTTAGATATTTACATTTTTCTACTTCTCCCAGCGGTCAGAAGAAGTTAACAGCTTTAATCTTTTCCACTACCTATAAATAACATAAATGTGTATGTTCTCTCTACGATGTCTTACATTTATTGTTAGACTTATTTATTATACATAAAACTAAAAATTCATACATTATAAAAAATTAAGTGCATACATTTAAAACAAATTCAGAATTACAGGCATAGCTTTTAATAATGTAAGTCTGTACAGTCAAGAAAAACAGCTACCCAACTACATGGAAGAAATATGTCAAACTCTTCCTCTACTTTTTCCAGTTTATAAAGTTCATTGTTGACCTGCTGTAATAAAACTTCCATTAAGTAATTTATCAGGTTCACATTAACCCTAAACAACAACTAATCCAGGAGGGTTTGGCAAATTGCTGTATTGTTATCCATGTCACACTATTGTCACACTTGTTTTTACCACATCTCTAAAGAGAATGTAAATGATATTATAGTGAATCTGGGGATAAGCATAGGTCGTATTGAAACTGTGATACATCACATTATTTTTTACCTTTTTATAGTGTTTTATACTTAATGTAACTCAATGTTATGTAATGTATTTATATGCTTGTTTTTTTATTTGAGCTGTGAAATGTACATATATAAGAGTTTTAGAAGATTTTATACCCAACGACATACATTGACTCTTCCACCTTTTCTTGCAGTTTTTGAAGTTGATGTTGAAAAAAATATTTAAGTTACAGGAATTATATCACTGATAAATGTGTGGCTTGTCTAGCTATGTTTGCTAATAGCTTTAATTCTTATCTACACCATACTTATTTTCATACTAAAACTTTTTAACTAAATCTATCACATTGTATTTATTTATTTATCATACCCTAGAGTATAAACATCATTTGATACCTGCTGTTAAAAAGTGTGGTATATAATTACCAAAAAGTAAATCAATTTGCAATTATTATTTTTTTTAAACAGCTTGTCTGTTTATAGGTTATTCTAAATAGTATTATTTCCCTTACACATTATCAACTGTAGTCACAGTTTGTTAAAAATGTGTACTGGTTTGGATTTTTATGTGGAACTGGTTGAACTATTCACTGCCTCGTTGTTATTTTAATTTATGACACATAAAAAGTACATTTATTACGTACTAATAAGTGTCATATATACTCAGTGCAATAATTTACTCAATACTAGTATTTATATTTTGTTGAATAATATTGTAATGTTTACAACTGTTGTTTTTTTAGCTCATAATAATGCATTTTTAATTGTTTTTCAATTTTTATTGAAACATTTTTTTTTAAATTTAATGAAAAAGCTGCTTTTATTTTATGTCTATTGTTGATTAGACTGAAACAGTGTATTACTTTTAAATACCTGTGAGTGTAGCCGATATACACGGGTACTATTTTAATTTTTTTGCTGTTATCCATTTTAAGGATTTTGTTTTTGAATTTGTGTGGAACTCAAAACCATATATATATATACAGTGCAATAATTTACACAAAACAATTATTCTTATTTTAAAATATTTTGTGTATGTTTTTTTTTAATTTTGCATATTTTTTTGTGTATTTTTTTAAATATTTTTCAATGCTTGTTGTTTAATGGAATAAATTTTCTTTCAATTTAATGCCATTATTGTATAAGCTAAATGTGATTTGTATATATAGGGTTGACAGTGAACATGACTGGACTTGGGGTAGATTATGGCAGAGACAGTTGATTATGGAGGCTTTAGATAGATTATGGCAGAGATAGTTGATTATGGAGGCTTTAGATAGATTATGGCAGAGATAGTTGATTATGGAGGCTTTAGATAGATTATAGCAATGACAGTTGATTATGGAGACTTTAGATAAATTATGGCAAGGACAGTTGATTATGGAGGCTTTAGATAGATTATGGCAAGGACAGTTGATTATGGAGGCTTTAGATAGATTATGGCCGAGACTGTTGATTATGGAAACTTTAGATAGATTAAGGCAGAGACAGTTAATTATGGATCTTTTAGGATTGGTTAAAAATTGTGGAAGGCAGTAGGAATAGGCTACAGATTATTTAGTGTTTGATGTGTTTGTTCGATAAAATATGTGTAGTGCGACAGATTTATGCTTTTAAAGCAGAATGACGTAGTAGACAGGACAATGACTTGGTAGTATTTTAGTTTAGATGGTAGAAGAATATGGCATATAGCTGTAACTTAGATGACTATTGCCAATAAATGTTTTGTATGGAAATATAGCTGTGATTAAGATCTATGTTACCAATAAATGTTGTGTGTTGCATTATTGCCTTCAAGCTATTTATTGAATGCAAGAGAAAAAAGTATGTAGTAAGATAGTTTAGAAGTGGAGAGTGTTATAAAACTAAACCAACCAACACATTTTGGTGGAGAAAGGCAAGGGTCTTAGTCTGCTCTTCACATGTTAGCCCCTTCTCTTTAATCTTTAGTTAAATAATTTAAATTAAAACAACAAGGCGTGTACGCCATGAATGGGCTAAACTTTAATAGTAACCGTCCGGAACTTTTCAGAAATATGCCTTTTTTTTTATTCCTGTATTTTTAGTCGGCCTATTGACCAGCCTTGTACCATTCTTGTTACTAACTATTCTAATGTAGGTTATATTTTTAAAAAGGAAATAGCCCTACAGCGTAATTGTTGTTTTATATTTTATAGTTTATAGACATTTTGGTCGTTAACCGTAGATCTAGTTGTGTAGTAACATGATAGATCCATTATATTATAACATTCCACAGGCCAACATGACTGTGCAGAGTTTCTTCTCCAGCCATCTCTTCGGGGTGGACCCCCCCCCCCTCCCAAGAAAATCTAACCCCCCCCCCCCCCCCGAACGAAATGGAATTTATATAGAAAATATATACACTTTACGCCCCCCCCCCCCCCCCTGGAGAATAAAGTCTGAAAGAAACACTGACTGTGTAATATCTAGGATTTTTAATTTATTTATTTATGAGCTTTTATTTAGTTCACAACGTCCGTCCCTCTGTTTATGGTAAATCGGTTTTGCCCCACTTCTACAATAGGCCTATTAGTCCAACGATTTCTTTACTTTTCAGATATAGATCTATTAGTCTCCGGAAACAATGCAAGAATTTCCATTTTATTTTTGTGTTAATCTAATTGCATTAGTTATAAAGAAGTTAACTTTAGGATTACTAAACTCAATTCAGTGGCGGAACTAGAAAAAAAGGGCCACCCCGCAAAATATTTTTTGAGGCCCCCTATATATATATATATATATATATATATATATATATATATATATATATATATATATACACACACACACACACACAAAATACGAACGGAGGATACTCATTTCGGGCCTAATCTAGTTTTTAAAAAACACATTATTTTAAAAAATACATAATACTTTTAATTTTCATTTCTAACAAATTACAACAATATGTCACGTGTTTAAGTGCATTAGTCTGTTTTGCAAATCTGTGTGTCACTTTTGATGTCGGCCGTATATAGATCTATGCAAGCCGGTCAAAAGTATATGAAACATGAAAGCTTTGTATGAGTAATGGTTTCTCGTGTTATGTTTATTTTTATGTTTTTTTTAAATTTATATTAATTTTTTAAAATTCCTTTTTATACTATGGCATTCTTTAGTATGTATTTTATAACAAATTATAATTAAGAGAAGTAATTGCTTTTCAATTTGCGTAGTACAAAACTATTTAAAAAAAGTTTGTGGGCACTTCTATTTAAAAAAGGGAAATAAGGCATGGAAGTGGTTTGAATGTTTGTTTATATTGCACACTAAAGCTTGTGTAGATTTTTTTTTTCTTTTACGCAACAGCGTGTGTTAGCTACTGTAGAACATTACTACAGTAGTAGTTTTTTTTTTACAAAACCATAATTAAGGTGCACGAAAACGTAATTTTGGAATACAAAGTCATTGCTTTTTGGTCAGATTTTGGGCCCCTAAACGGCCTGGGCCCCCCCGCATTGCGGGGTCTGGCAGTATGGTAGTTCCGCCCCTGACTCAATTACTTGTCGATCTAGATCTAGATAGTAAATATACTGAGACTAAATTAGATTCTGAAGCTATCGATCTAGGCCAAGTTAATTTGATTTGCATTTCAGCATTTTGATCTGGCATGCAGGTGTGCATCATACAGTCGTATAGTTACAGATAACAGTAGATATTAGATAAACACCCTAGCATGAAATCTTGATCTAGATTCTGGATCTAGATTTAGATCTAAGTCTAGATTCTATTTTTAATGTAGATCTAGACTATTTTAAACAAGTCATTGCTGCTTATTGACTCGCTTAGATTTTAGAATCTAGATCTAGTCTAGGTTAGTAAAAGAAAAGACTAAGAAAAAAAGAATAAAGTATTAAAGTCAAAGACAAGGTGTCGACACCTTGTCTTTGACTTTAATTTTTAATACTTCACAGTAGAATTTGAGTAAATCTAGCTAGGCCAATCTACTTGAATCTATCTAGGCCATTTTCTAGGTCCTACTTAACTTAGATTTATCTTATTTTATATGGTCAGAAAATAAGTTTGAATTTTAAATGATTTTTTGGTGGAAATAGGCCTACTGAATATAATATGTCCTTTAATTCGCACTTTGTATGTAGAGTCAATGTAGATCTATATCACATATGTATGTATGTACCAGTAGCGTACGCAGGGGGGGAGCAGGGGGAGCGGCCGCTCCCCCTCTGGCCATTTTCAGCAAAGTGGCGCCTTTTTGGAAACTTTTAAACTCAAAGTTTTAAACAATGATATTTGTTAAAAAAATATTTTTGGTCGGCACATCTATGTAAATCACAAGATTTCTTTTCATGCAGCAATTAAGCATTATTGTACTAGTCTAGTAGTGTCTACGATTACAACACGTATTAACAGCTGCATCAGTTTGCCATTCTAAAAATAACCATTACGATGCATTGCAATGTTTAAAAAAAACTCTGCGGGTAGTACCATTTCGCAAGAGGGGTGTTAAGTTTAAGGCAACTGTATAATGTATTTGCTTACGAATAATTGAACTAAAAATGTTATACATAAAACTTCACACATAATTACTTTATATATACAGTTTGAATTGTGTGATTAATTTTTAAAAAAAAATTACAATACAGAAACAAATACAACTGATGTGGCACCTCTATTTTAATTTACTTATGAGCAAACTACGTAGTGGTGGGGAAATTTTGACAAGGTCAACAACGTCATCACTATGAAGTATTAGTATTTTTACAGTTTGGGCGATAGTGATTACGATTACAAATTATATGAAACAGTTACAACCCCCCTCCCCCATGGACCCCTCTTTAAAAAAATATTGTCATAATACCACTGCTACTTATTTAAATCTATTTCTGTAATATATATGTGTGTAATATATATTTGTGTAATATATATATATATATATATATATATATATATATATATATATATATATATATATATATATATATATGTGTTTAGAACAGTCATCTAAAAACTGACGCTATGCTCACTCTGAGTTAGTTATCTCCCCCCCCCCCCCCCCCCACACACCTCACCACCACAATTGTGTAGAGCGACATTAATTTCACACCTAGGTATACACTGGGTTGGATAATTGACCTAAAGTGTGACCGGACAGTGGTGAATGAAGTTGAACCAACCCCCCCCCCCCCCCCCCCCCCCCAACTGATCTGTTACGTACATGTAGAAAAACGCGTAATGATGTACCAAAGTACCATGCCGCCAGAAAATTAGCTTTTTAAAACGTAAAGCTCTGAGAATATTGTTTTTGCAATTACCAGTAAAAAGGTATGTGATCAATACAGTGATCTAACCCATACCTATCACTATGTTAAAAAGTGATCTTTAAGGAACACAAAGAAGCAGTAGTTAATTAAAATATATGATCTGAACTAAAAGCACGATATTAGGTTAAATGTAGGCTGTTATTCCGAAAAGTCTCGAGTTCGAACCCTCGGGCAGATGAGGCTCGTTAGCTGGGGAAAGCCACTCTTCTAGGAGAGACAACTCCAAAATCAAACAACTGCTGCCTTGTAGTTTGTTCTTGATTGGACAAAGGCTATGGAAGCAAATCCAAAAAGAAAAGCAGGAGTCAATGGCCTTAATGGCGCATAACCAGTTGACAGGTAACGATTAATTGTGATGGAAGCATGGTCGAGTCGGCAAAGCTCATGGTTGATAAATTCGAAAAAATTCGAGTTCAAACCCTCTGGAAGATAAGGCTCGATCTCTTCCAATACTAAAAATTAAGAAGGAAGGAGAAGAAGATTCCGAATATTTTTCTGATGTATCTAAAAGCGTGGTTTTATACCAACTCTGATTTTAAAAAAAAACTTTCACTATGCTGTAATACTTTAGCATTTATGATGACGATATATTAAATTCTAATTATAGACAAAAACATTTTGTAAACCTGAATAGTGTAAAACAATTTCATTATATTCTAAAGTAATTATTTATTTGTTTTGACATTTATAATTAAATGTGTAGATATATACATAATTATATTAAGAGAGTGATTATTTCCCCTATTTCACTTGTCTTAAATAATTTCCCAGGAATTGTGTTACGTTCATTGTTTTTGGTTGTAGTGTATATATATATATATATATATATATATATATATATATATATATATATATATATATATATATATATATATATATATATATACATATATATATTAGATTGATACAAGTTTTGTTTTGTCTGCCTACATTGTGTGTTTTTTCTTATTTCTTCAGAGTGCTACTTTCAATTTATTTTACATCATAACGAAGTAATGTAGTAGTATTATATATACTATAGCATAAAGTAGTTCTATATACGTGTATAATATATATATATATATATATATATATATATATATATATATATATATATATATATATATATATATATAATACACGTATATAGAACGTGTAAAAAATTCGGCGCCTTTTTTTGTTCTTTTCGCTCCCCCTACAACGAAAACCTGGATACGCCTCTGGTATGTACCTAAGTATGTGGGCCTACTACAGTCTTATACTAGTAATTACTAGTTAGTTATAGATCTATAGGACTCAGTCGTAGGCAAAATTACTATTAGTATTGAAGGGCTAAAAAAGGACATCCTAAAATAACTTAAATGGTTTAGCCAATGCCGCCTAAAGTAAAGAAATTAAATGAAAATTTTCAACTAAGTAAATTTTTTAAATTAAATTGTTTGATTTTTTTTTACAGGTGCTTAAAGTAACTATTAAATCATGGGGAAGTTAAATATCTTTGAGATATCCTTTGGTAATGGAAGCGGTGTGTACTATCCTGGGAATGCAGTGGATGGTCATGTTACTGTAGAACTTACAGAACCAATGAAAATGAGAGGTTAGAATTCCAGTTCTAAATCAAGATGTCAAAAATTAAATTTGCTGTGTTAAGGAATTTCTATGTTCTTTATGTTATTTTATTTTTTATTTTTTTTTAAAGGAATACGTCTGAAATTTGAAGGCAAGGCATATGTTCATTGGAGTGAAACCCACTCAACTGGATCTGGTAAAAATAGGCGTACCACAACTCGCCATTACTCTGCTTCTGAAAGATATTTTGATCAGGAAGTTCTCCTTTTTGGTATATGTAAGTGATAGTGTGTTAATTTTTTTTCCCCTTAATTAAAATCCATTAAAATTTTGAAATACTCATGACTGACAAAATTATGTCAGCTAAAAATTGTCAGGCACATTAATGGAGACAAGCGAGTTGACGAGATTCCTTCCATAGTGTTGTTGACATGGAATAAAAACGTGCTTTTTAGATTTAGACCGTAAAAAAAAATAAAAAATAAAAACTTAAGCCTAAAATTAATTTAGAAATTTTATATTTTTAGAATAAATGCTATAAAAGTTGCAAATCCAGAGAACTTGAAAATAATTTGTTGAGTTTAAGGCTACATTTCTATTTATTTTCATCAAGCCTAAGTTATAACCGGATGTTTCACTTTCGTATGACAAATATTGATTGGCTGTACAGTAACTTAGTGATCGATAACTATTTGTTTACAAAACTTTGCAGATCAAGTTTTTAAATAACAATGCAAATTTAAAACCCCATGACCTAGTTTTCTATTTTTAACTTACAATGTGTACAATAAAATTTATGTAGGCCTATCCAATAGCAGGATGCCATTGTTTATGTCGCCATTACACGTGAAAACCAAATTGTTTTTGCTTTTTTTTTTAATTTTTATTTAGTTACCGAAAATATTAAAAACATCAAATACGTCCAATCTTTAGTAAAGTCCGAAAAAAACCAGACAGACAGAATTTTATAACCATATTAATTGTAACTACGCCGTGCAAGATTTTTAAATTAATTTATGCACCTCTCAAATACCTTTGAGACTTTTCTCGCTTGTGTCCATTAAAGTCTCCTTAGTAGTAGTACCAAATCACCAAATAATTGTATCATTAACTTTTTTTTTCCAACAGTTCAAAAGGAAATCGTTTATCACTTTAACCTATTACCTAGAAACAGCTGTGAACAGAGTTTCTTCCAGGCATCTCTTGGTGGGGGGGGGGGGGGGGGGCGCATTGTCTTTCCCCCCCCCCCCCCCCCCCCCCTGAACGAAATTAAATTTATATAATTTATTATTTATATAGAAAATATATACTTTTAACAGTGTCCGCCCCCCCCCCCCCCCCCCCTCAAAATTCCAAGTGCCCCCCCCCCCCCCCCCCCCCCCCCGGAGAAAAAAGTCTGGAAGAAACACTGGCTGTGAATAATATAGCCATTTAAATGTTCATTTTTTTCTTGACTTTGATGCAAGCTAGTAACTTGTACAGTTTTGTATTGAGGTAGCTGGTTTACTTCAACACATTGAAAAATATATTTTAAAATTTGAATGAATATCTTATTATTTGTAAATTTTTTAGGCGAATAAAAATGTTATTTTCCTTATTTAAAAAAGAAATGAAAAATATTTCACACTCTGAACAGGGCCAAATCAAGGCAGTGAAACAAAAGAAATACCATTAGGCAGACACACCTTCCCTTTTCAGTTCATCCTACCACTTGGACTCCCATCATCATTTGAAGCAGGGACTGGTTATGTTAGATACACTGTGTCCTGTAACATTGATAAGCCATGGAAGTTTGACCATAGGACCAAGAGACCATTCACCATTGTTGCTCTTTTGGATTTAAACCAGCAACCTAATTGCATGGTAATAAATTATATTGTTTGTTTTGTGTACTCTTTTATGTTTCATATGTTTGATGATTCAATAGCAGTATTTGTTCTACTGTTAAAGTCTTCTATTGACACCAGATTATTTCCTTATTAATTTAACTGACAAAATATCAACTCTTTGAAACAGGTTATTACATTTCAGCAGTAAAAAAAATTGCCAGTTAGTGATATGATATTGTCTTTTCAGTATAATCCAACATTAAAAAGTTAAAATTTTAAAATCTTAGCAACGTTTACAAGCTACAAAACAGAAGCATTTGTGTTGCTTGTGCTGTAAGTCTGGACCTATCGAAGCCACCTTCAAAATAGAAAGACAAGGCTTTGTGCCAGGGGAGGCAATTAAACTGTTTGCTGAAATAAGCAATGGCTCTAATAGAAAGATGAGCAAATCATATGTGGATTTAAAAATGGTAACAATTGTTTAAAAAATTAAAAGTAACACTAATTAAATAAAAAAAATAAAATGCAGTTATTATAGCACATACCAAAATTTAAAATAATTTTTCTTGACCTCTTTAAGTATACCTTTTTCTTCAAATATTGTATTAGGCTTGAATAATCTTTTAATCTAAATTAGTGAAAACAAAGTTACAGATACAGTCTACTTTTTTTAATGTTGTCTCACATTACTGTGGAAGAACTTTCTGTACTTGATAACTCTAGCTTCAATCTGAGATCATTCAATTTTCTGTAAAATGCATGCTAATTAATACCTTCAAAAAGCTTTCATCTTATAAAATAAAAGATAAAATTTCATGACTCAATTTTTACTTGCCAGATAACAACATTTCGTGCCACAACTAAGTGCAGAACTGATGTGCGAGAGGTAGCTAGAGTGACACGCCCACCCATAGAAAAACATAGAGAGGACTCTTGGTCCGGAGAAGAGCTAGTTGTCCCGCCACTGCCCCCTTCATTTTTACCTGGTTGTAACATCATTGATATCCGCTATGTGCTGCAGGTAGCAAAAAAAAAAAAGAATTCCCAGTTCTTTACAGCTCACTTTTGATAAAACATTTCAAGTTTGATCGTCTAATTATACACATTTTAATTTGAAGCAATTTTATTAGAATACTAGTATATAGTGAGTTTTTTGTATTTCGTTAAAACATTAAATGAATTCCAAGGTTATGCCCTAAATACCTGTTTAATACAAATAATTATATGAGATTATATAAGCATTTTGCCTCCACCAACCATTAAATGTTATTTTTTTAAACATATTGTCTTCATCAGCTAAATGTGGATCCATCAGGACCTGGCCTAGACCTGGAGGTTCCCTTTGAGATTATCATTGGAAGCATTCCCCTAATGTCAGTGGTGGAAATGTACCCGCCTATGTCACCCCCACCACAGATAATGGACAGGATGTATGCCTGGGGCACAGTCCCTACAGCCCCAGCCACTGAAGATCTATACCCATACCCACCACCCAGTGGTATTCCTAATTTACGTATGTTTACATTTTAATTCCATTTAATTTTTCTAGTTGGCTTTTTGTTTTAGAATTTTAAAAAATCCTCTGTTTTTAAGTAATCTATCAAGGAATAAACATTACCAAAATATTAAAGGAATGCAAAACTACACTTATGTTTGCCAATATTAATATACTATTCCTTAACTTTAAGTTGTGAAAGCTAATGAAGCTGATTGTTATTAAAATAACTAAAATAAATCTCCACACAAAAATAAATGTGATGTATAAACAAACTGTCATTTCAGCCCCTCCTTCATACGGTGAATGCATCACTGGCCGCTACAAGATCTCAGAAGAAGGAGATAATGAACACACTAGAGGAAAGCTTGAATACGCCCCAGTCTATCCTTACTACAATTGGGGGCACACACCAGGAGCACTGCCAGAGGGAGGTGCTAAATCTTAGAAACATCCACCACTTCTGGTTTTATGTTAATCTGTTATTGACCTCCTGTTTTAAATTGTCTTCTTAAATTTTATATGTAACATAGTTTTTGAATCATTTCTACAATACTACTTTGACAAATGTGTTTAAAACATAGACTTGAAGGCATTTTGTTTTATATTGTCAAGAAGTACCCTATAACAAGCCATAAAACAGTGTATAATGTCAACACCCTCTCTTCTAGTGATATTCAAACTGATATTATCCATAAAGAACAAATAGTTCTTAGTTAATCTGCTGTAATAAAACTTTCATTTCTTAGGTTGACGTTGTCTACAAACAATGATGGTTTCCCCTCTGTATTGTTATACATTTCACTTCACTTATTTGTTTTTACAAAGCTCAAGGCAATGTGAATGATATTAAAGTGAATCTCTAAGAAAAGCCATAACAATGATATTAAAAGTGAATCTCTAAAGAAAAGCCTTAAGTATGATATTAAAAGTGAATCTCTAAGAAAAGCCTTAAGTTTGATATTAAAAGTGAATCTCTAAAGAAAAGCATAGGTTCTATTAAAACTGTGATACATCCTTTTATATTTTTTTTTTACCTTTGAGTGTTTCACCCTTTCTGTAACTTAACGGAGTATTTCCAAAATGAGTGTATTTATCTGCTTGTTTCTAGGTATTGAGCTGTGAAACTTTGTCTACAAGTTTAGTAGGTTGTGTACCCAGTGACTTACAGTCTTCCACCCCCTTTTCAAACTTTTATTGTTAATGTAAACACAATTCTTAAAAACTAAAGGTGTTCTACCACGAATGTGGTTGACAAAGTCTATTTACATTTGTTAAAAGCTTTATTTCTTATCTACACCATATATACATTTATAATTTTAAACTTGTCACAGTTAATCTATCACATTGTATTTATTTAAATTATGATAACTACAAAGAAAGCCAATGTTAATAAGGTTTATGTTCATGCTAAAAATAATAGTATATAATAACTGAAATTCAATCAACTTGCTATTTTTTTCCTTTAAATAGCTCAAAAGTTATTTATTTTAAATGTGATTAATTCCCTTATGTATTATCCACTGCAATTAAATCTTATTAGTCTTTGTTGGTTGACAATGTATCACTGTTTAGATTTTGTTGTCAAGTTGATTAAACGAGTGTTTGGCTCATTGTTTTATTCGACTGCATATTCTAACACTGATCACTTATAAATAAGTGCCATATATACTTTTTGCAATAATGCACACAATATAATTGTTCATATTTTGTTTAATAACAATACTTACAATTGTTTTTTAGCTCATATTGATTTATTTCTTCATGGAATTCAAATGAATGTTTATTGTTTTACATATTTTTTTCACTTAATGTTTGAAATATTTTAGAAAATGTTTATCTATACAGTTGTTAAGTGAAAGAAAATTGTCTTTTATTTTATTGCCATTGTCAAATAGACTACAGGAAAGCTTATTATATTTTAAATATATGTATACAGTACTTACAATAAATGGGTGCTTTAATTATGTTTCACCTTTAGCATTTTCAAGGATTTTATTTTTAATTTTTTTTGTTAAATCAACGCAAAACACATAACCAGTAAATAAAGACTTTTCCTACTTTGCTGGCTTTTACGCAGAGAAAATTTTCCCTTTTTTTTACCAGCATTTGTATTCTTGAGCTGTATTGTATATTATAGTCTCACTCATCTTTACCTAATCAATATAAAAAATAAAGCAAAACATTCTTCTTTTTGAACAAGTGCAATTAGATCTGGTGAACTTACAGACCTGAATCCTCAGTGACCTCTCACCTTTACTGGGATTGGTTGAATCTTTTTGCTGACATTTACTGCTCACCTATTCACATTTCTTGTGTGAATAGCTATTTTGACAGATTTTTCAAATAAAATTTGCAAGAAATATTTTTGATGTAATTTATTGGATGCTATACTCATGTTTAATCAGGATTATTTTTATTTTTACAGCTTGTTTTGTTGACACAAGCCCACTTAACAAAAGGATCCACCATGTAGCCTACTATATAATATTGTTTTTTGTTGCACGAAGAGATGTTTATTATTTTCCGTGTTTATTCTAAAATTGGAATTGTTTTTATACACCGTGTATATTATATATATAAAAATGTTAAACTCATGTACCACTGTAGCAGCTTCACTCCAATAAACAATTTACATTTTAGTATGTTTTTCTTGGATTGGATGTGCAAATGTAATGTTTAATGCTGTTATCAGTTATTGTCTATTTTTCGTAATTTTTGGAATAATTCAACTTTTGATTTTAAAATATTAGACAGGGATAGTGATATGGTACTTTTTAAATATGGAGATCACCTAATAGGCCAGAGGCGTCGCGGGGCGACCAAAATCTAGTGACTTACGATGAAAACGATGCTTTTTCCACATGAATAGATGGACTGTGCGCAAAAATCAATGCCATCAGGCAAAATGGGGAAGGGATGTCACCAATTGCAACTATATATATAGGCCTGTGTAGACCTATATATATATATATATATATATATATATATATTTATTTATTTATTTATTTATTTATATATATATATATACATATACTTTTTTTTTTCAAGGAAGGGGGTGACACCATGAGGCCCCGCACCGGGTGACACCCGACCTGGCGAAGCCGCTGTAATAGGCTAATATGGCTATGTGGGTTGTTGTTTAAGTTACCACTTTTTAAATTTGGAAACAGCTCCGTGGTTGTTTTTTTCTATGATCAAAACACATTAAAGGGCCAATGTTTTGTTGCCAGACGCAGACTAGTATAATAGGAAGTGGGTGGGGTGGTTTATGTTAGCTAACCATACCATTCTCGACATCAGGTGGATGGTGTTTTATACATAGTTTCAAAAGTTTAAGCATCATCCAAAATTTCAGTCTGGGATCTTTATTGGCATTTCCCACAAAGCCACTGTGCAATGCAGAACCACGTGCAACGAAAACAAAAAAAATTGAATTTCTATAATTATAAGTTGTTGTTTTTTTTTATTATTATTTAAAAAGTCTATCTTGATGTGAATGGCTAAAAATGGAGAGCAATAAAATCAACTATCAAAGAAGAATAAAGTCCCGTCTGAAAACATTCTAAACAGACGATGGAACTGGAGGCCTCGGCCGATAATGCAACAGCAGGGCTGTATTAAGTGCGCTAGGGGGAGATAACACGTATCGGTATCATGATGTTTTCTGTATCGTGGACCCTTTGAAGTCACAATACACATACGTCACGGAATCATGTCAACGCCACCTATATAATATATATTATCGCGTCGATGGTTTAGTTAGGCAATATAGGCAGGGCCGGCGCTACCTATAAGGCGAACTAGGCGGTCACCTAGGGCGCTGTCAGTAGGGGGGGGGGGGGCGCCATAATGGGTTGGAAAAAGAAATTGGAAGTTTTGAGGGGGGTGCAAATCGAAATTTTGAGGGGGGGGGGTGCAAATCAAAAGTTTGTCCCCGGGAAGGGTCGCTACGCCTCTGATAATACGGGGGCACGAAAAAAAATTGCGGGGGGGGGGGGGGCTTGTAATAAGTTTTGCCCAGGGCGCTAAATAACCTGGCGCCGTCACTGTATATAGGCTACATTGTTTGATGAACTTATTATTTTTATTTCTATATTGTGGCCCAATAGTTGGCTTGTGATTGTTGTGATGGTACGTCGTGTAATTTCTTTGTTAATATTTTAATCCCATACTAACAATGTCGAGCATAAAAATAAAGAAAGTGGTCGGACGAATATATACAATATAGATCTAGATTCAAATGTATAAACGGAAATTATTGAGTCTCCTAACAGCTTGATTTGCAATGCCAAGTTCAGCAAAGCTAAGTGAACACTCTCTAAATCTAACTCACACTAATTTGCATTTAAATTCTCTTTATTTTGTTTTTGAGCGCAGTAATATTGATGTACGATTCGTGGTAAAATCTTAGTTTAGCGTCGTAAATTCCAACGTAGCTAGTAATGTGCGATGAAGGTAACTAATGAATATTTCTTTCATTTGGCCATATTTATGTCATATTTTACATAATATAACAGATAATTGAATAACAAATCACAATCCAAGACCAAACCAGTCATAAATATCCTGGAATAAACTTTAAACTACCCCGTTCGAGACAACAATGAGTAAATACAAGCAGCGGCCATGTTTTAAAAACAATAAATTGTCTATTCGCATGTCTTTTGTGTTGATTTTGTGGTTTAATATGATTGTTTTGTATTGTTTTAATATATGCCGGGGGTCGTCCATAAATGACATCACACTCGTAGGGGGGAGGGGGTCCGTAAATTTGTGACGGTGTGTGATGAGGGGGAGGGGTTCAGATGGTGCAACGTCACACTTTTGCATTTTAAAAAAGCAATGTTACAAAACGAATTTTAGACGTTATTTTGCGTTTTAAAAAAACTGTTTTAATACATTGTAATAACAATTGATTAAAATACTCTATTTTGACAGAGTTCAGACAAGATTTTGGAAAAATATAGCTGTTTTAAAAAAATTCAACTGCAATTTTAAGGGGGGGGGGGGTTTGTAGGCTGAGGTGTGACGTCATTTTAGGGGGGGGTCTGGCTTTTTGTGACGACGTGTGACGGAGGGGAGGGGGGGGGGGGTAAAAATCGTCAAAAAAAGCGTGACATCATATGGATGACCCCCTGTATAGCAATTTTTCTTTTTTTTAATATAGTTGACATGAATGACTAATAGACCTTATCAGACTTAATAGTGTGCATCCAAGACCACAACAATTGTTGGGAGGTCGAACTTTTGAACACTTTATTTGCAGTTAGCAAATCAATATTAGATCGCTCATAAATGACATCGCTCTTAAGATAGTAATGACAGCGTGCATTATTACAGAACAAACATATGAACATATTGTTTCAGATAGAAATTGTGATTTGTGGTGGGGAGAGCTTGAGTAGAACTCAGCGATGTGATTTTGGAGACGGGTCAGGTTTTTTTTTTTTTCGTGAAAACGGGATGGTTGTGGGGGAAAGACCAGCTGTAGAAGTATGACGCGTCATTTATTGGTGATCCATTTTCTCAGTGGGGACGAAAGAACTATTAAGAAGGATCAAAAAAGGTAAAAAGCTTGCCGAGTCGCATTTCTTGAACCCCACCTTTTTCATTCCCCCACTTAGCACATCGTCACCGAGTTAACGCTCGCACGTGACGTCATGTAGCGGTACCGCCGACCGTTAGGCTAATTTTATAGAAAAAAAAAACAAGCACTGCCTTTTTGACGCTTTTGCGACGTTAAGTTGGTGTTCATTAAACAGCCCCTAACACATCTATCACTCGTCCATTTAAACGTACGTAGTTATTTCTGCAAGCTTGCTGTCTTGATACTTTCGGCCCTTTAAAAATGTATTAAGCTCACACCGTATAGAACTAGACTACCCATATTAAGCTCCAAAAGAAGCTTGGTGAAAACAGGATGGCCGTCCGATTTTGTAGCTGCTCTGCGCTTTATAAAAACCACAATAAACGATAAGATGACACTTATATTAAAGTAAATTATAGTTCTGAATCTTTATACATTAAAAGTGATATTCGGAAATTAAGAGCAAGACAGTCAACATGATATTTCAATTTAAGTCCAAGAAAATAAATGTCCTCAAACGATGGAACATTACTAAATTTTCGCGCAGTTTAGCGAAATTGAATTTAAGTATTTACGTCGTCTTACAAAGCGCGATAGCCTACTGGTGCTCTAACGCGGCCCATGCTAATGGCCGTATTCCTAACGCCCCGCATTAGACGCGGCTTATTCGTCTGCAGGCATTTGGTGGCAAGCCTTTTTGACGGGGATAATGTGTTGCGGCCGGTTTGCCGAATGTCTTAAACTAGCAGGCTTGAAACATTTGTGATGATTCGTTTTAAGCAAGGTATACATATACTCAGGGGCGTAGCGAGGGGGGGGGGGCGGGGGGTGCGGACCGCACCGGGTGACACCATTTAGGGGGGTGACACCAAGGCAAAAAATAGCAAAATATATAGAGAAAAACTCGAGGGGGGGTGCGCAAATCGAAAACTCGAGGGGGGGGGTGCAAATCGAAAGTTTGAGGGGGGGGGGTGCAAATCGAAAATTTGAAAGTTTGTCCCTGGGAAGGGTCTCTATGCCTCTGGGGGGGGTGACACCATTAAGTGCCGCACCGGGTGACACCCGACCTCGCTACGCCACTGCATATACTAATGCTTATTTATCGTTATTTTGATTGAACAAAGCATTATAGAGGTTCTCCATCAACCACCTAGGTATTTTACCCGTTCACCTCCTTTCTTGAGACCGACACGTCATAAATTGCAAAGCCGCCTGAGTTGACGTCACAAATCTTCACTCACTCCCGTAGCAAATCATATGTGACATCATTTATGGACAACCCCATATCACTCACTTGGGTACTTGATATTGACAATTTGACAACAAAGGATAACCAAAATGTGTCTGGCAGGTGGAGACTTGCGATCGACCATAATGACAACACGCACTTGAGGGGTGGACTGGCTCATTGTTTTAGATGATGTTTTACGAGGGAAGCTGGTGGATAATACATTTTGTCTCTCTGTATATATAAATGATGACAAACATTTAATGTTGTCAAAATTATGGTTAGAGATCTTAGATAAGGCAGAGTGAAGCGTAATTTTTTACATTATGACTTGATGTGACATTGACGACAAAAATATGACGGAGGTTGGGGTTTAATTAAGGTAAAGAGAAGTAAAAAAAAATGTCATAAGTTACGATAGAATTACTAATAATTATTATTGATGAAAAGAAAAAGCTGAAACTGAAATGAAAATAGTGAACATTAAAACAATAAGAAAAAACTCACAACTATTTAGTAATAGTAAGATCAAATAAACATTAGTTTTAAAAAAAACGTGATTTAATACTTGGATACAAGTTGCATCTCACAATGCTTCTAGAATTAATAAAGTTGTTTGTTAGAAAATTCACATTTTTAAAAAAAATGCTTTGTAATATGGACTATACAACAAGACGATCATATTTAAATACATTTTCATATGAATAGAAATGAAAGGGAAGCTACTCTCAATAACATTTTCTTAAGATGGCTGCTGTTTTTAATAGCAAATTTACTATCTCGAACAGGGTTGATAAAAATTAATTTCAGGATATTTAAATTGATTTAACCATCAATGGTGATCTATTATTCAATTATCTATAATACTTTATCAAAATATACGAAAATATACTCATATTTAATCATTTAATGACATATTCATTAATTCACTCTCTCCTACATTACTAGTTTTGGCCGAATTTACGACGCTAAACTAAGATTTTACCCGATTCGTTTTGTACAACAGTAAAATGTTTATATTAAACTGATGGGTACCTCTAAAATAAATTTTGTTATTTTGAATTTTTACTGCCTCGATTTTTCAAAATTTCCCATTCGCATTCAAATATTAATGAGATTAACAGCAAAATTTCGAAACCGATACGACTCCACAGAGGTCATTTCCGCTTTAATCCCGGGCTACCAACTTAAATATTAAATATTATAATAATAAATTTTGGTAATCTATCGTTTTAGGTACGTAAAATCGCCCGCGACTAGTAATGTGAAAAACAGGTGACTCCTTAAATTGGTAATATATCGATTTAGGTACGTAAAATCGCCCGCGGCTAGTAATGTACGAAAATGTTACCTCATTACTGTCATTGACAAGGCTTTTCCTTTTTTCTACTTTTAACTTTTAGTTAACTTTAATTAATTTACTAAGTACTAAGTAGAAGTAGACTAGATCTATAATTAATAATAATAATTATTGTGATAATATAAACTGATATATTTGTGTCAAATATTATAGAATGAATAATAAACCTAAATCAATGGCTAAATATATCAATAGGCAAGAAATTAACTTGAATCAGCAAAAAGCGGCCATCTGTAAGTTAGAGTGGCTCCCCCTGAATCTTGCGCTATAAGTTTACAATTAAAACAAATAAACAAGATGGCTGTTATAGTAAATGAGCATGGTTGCATCTGTTGGAAATATCGCTAGTCTTCATTTATTACTGAAAAGTTTTAATTCAATTGTTTTAAAACAGGTACATACATGAAACAAGGAAACATTTTTGTATTTTTCAAAGCATAAATCCTCCTCAAAATGTGAAATAATTATTAAAATTTAAGGGTAATCTATTGTTTTGGGTACGTAAAATTGCCCGCGGCTATAAATGTACGAAAACGTTACCTCATTGTCAAGGCTTTAATAGAAGTTTATTGTCATATGTTTGTGTCAAATATTATTATATTATAGATAAATGAATAATAAACCTGAATCAATTGCTATATATATTATATATTATTATATATCGATATAGGCCAGAAATTAACTTTAAACAGCAGTGTCTGAGAGCAAGATTTGCGACATAAACAGCAGCCATTTGTAAAATAGAGTGGCTTCCCCCTGAATCTCGCGCTATAAGCTTATAAAAATAAAACTTATACTAGATGGCTGCTATAGTATATGAGCATGGTGGCATCTGTTGGAAACATCACTAGTCTTCATTTATTACTGAAAAGTTTTAATTCAATTGTTTAAAAACAGGTACATAAATGAATCAAGGAAACATTTTTGAATTTTTTAAAACATAAATCCTCATCAACATGTGAAATAATTATTAAAATTTAAGGAGTCACCTGTTTTTCACATTACAAATCAAGGGTGATTTTACGAACCCAAAACGATAGATTACCTAAAAAGTGACTAAAAATCTAGAACTATGGGGAAGATAAATATCTTTGAGATATCCTTTGGTAATGGAAGCGGCGTATACTATCCCGGGAATGCAGTGGATGGTCATGTTACTGTAGAACTTAAAGAACCAATAAAAATGAGAGGTTGGTAAGGTAGATCACTTCAAATTCAAGATGCTGAAAATTAAATTAGGTTGTTTCAAGTGCCTACCCACACACACACACAAGAAACCCTGTCAATAGTCAGTTATTTTTTTTATTTTAAGGAATACGGTTACAATTTGAAGGCAAAGCATACGTTGATTGGTCAGAATCTTATTCAAAAAAACCTCGCAATTACTCTGCTACGGAAAAATATTTTTTTCATGAAGATCTACTTTTTGGCATATGTAAGTGAAAGTGTGCTCATTTTTGTTCATTTTATAATAAAACTTAAAAACCTAATCAGTAGTTTGCAATGTATAAATTATAATTATCTGCCTCTTCTTAATGTCAGTGGTTAGTTGTCATGCATGAAAACAGCTTGCAGCTATCATGGGTTGATCAAGTGACCACTAGTACTGAATCCTGTTATCTTCCATTTGTTATTGAACAAAGCAATTTTTAAATTAATTTCTTAGGACTAATTTAATATCTGATTTTATACAAAAATTAGATACTTTTGCAGGCTGCCTAAGGATTCAATCGCATTTATGTGGTATTAAATATTAAGTATTAAATATTTTTTCCAACATTTCTAAAGAAAGGAATTTAACTCAATAACTGGAAACTGTTAAAGGCTTACTTGTGCATACAAATAATATAGCCATATAAAAGTTATTTATTTTCTGGACTAAGCTACAAGGTAGTAATTTGTTGTACATTGTACAGATTTGTATAAGGTAGCATGTTCATTTCTAACAATGAAAATGTGTTTTTTTAATTTGATAACATGTAATAATTATGTATTTGCTAAATTATTTGTACTTTTAAATGAATAGTGAATTTTACTTATCAAAAATCGAAAGTTATTTTACACTCTGAACAGGGCCTAAGCAAGGCAGCGAAACAAAGGAACTACCATCAGGCAGACACACCTTCCCTTTTCAGTTCATCCTACCACTTGGACTCCCATCATCATTTGAAGCAGGGACTGGTTATGTTAGATACACTGTGTCCTGTAACATTGACAGGCCATGGAAGATTGACCACACGACTTTGAGACCATTCACCGTCATTGCTCTTTTGGATCTGAACCAGCAGCCTAATTGCATGGTAATAAATTATATCTTACACTTTATATATACTGGAACCATTTCTATGGGTCTTAAACAAATTGCCCCGAAGGCACTTGCCTGAATGCCATTTCCCCAAAGGCTGTTTTCTTGAATGTATGTTTCCGAAGTATTAGAATTTCCAGAAAGCCACAACCTCAAATTCTGTTGTGTCAGAATGGACAATGTTACAAAAGTATATAATAAATAAAAATGTATGTGTTAATTTTTAAAAATTAATTCTGCGTTGAAAAACAAATTAATAACAATTTTAAGTTAACAAATTTGAATTAAATAAATAATTCAATTTTAATTTTATAATTGCTCTTCTAACTTTCGAGATGTGTAAAATTCCATCTGATTCCAGATCTTATATATAATTCCATTGTTTTATTAGACATTAACTTAAACATAATTATAATGGTCTCAAAATGATGTATAATGTATATCAAATATCAGCAACTATTTTCAGTTTTTAAAGTAATTGCATAAACAGGTCTTATTTTTGTGTGGAATGATCACCACATAACATTGGCTTGGATATACTCTTGTTCATTGTTAAAAACTGTGTGATACAACCCCCTTAACATGTTTGCTGAACATAAAAAAAAATGTTGAAATGTGAAGCGTATCTTGTAAAAAAAAAAGCAACATATTTTTTTAATCGAATGTAATTTATCATTTTCATATTTAATAATTGTTATTAATAAAGAAAGAGATTTTCTTTTTTAATAAAAATATACTGTTATTTTCTTAAAACTAAACACTAAATCTAAAAAATGTGAATACATTTTTTTTTTTGTATGCTTAGACTTATCAAAATATCAAATTCGACTAATTTATTTTGAACTTGTACTTGATTTTTTTTTTAGAATTGTATACATTTTTTGGGCAATCAGCTTTCAGGCACATGATTTTTGGGCCAGCCCCTTTTTGTATATTCCACAGTTTCTACTTTTAAAACTTGCATTAAACACAATTTTTTTTTTCTTCATTAGCGCAAATTTTCAAACATAAACTCCTCAGATTTAAATCTGATTGTAACATTGCAACATTAAAAAAAAAATGTTAATGATACAATATCAGTTTATCAATATACATTATTAAAATTACAATCTTTTAAAATCCTAGCTAAGTTTACGACAAACAAAACAGAAGGATTTTTGCTGCCTATGCTGTAAATCTGGACCTGTCCAAGCCAACTTCAGTATTGAAAGGAAAGGTTACGTTCCAGGGGAGGCAATTAAACTATTTGCTGAAATAAGCAATGGCTCTGATAAAATTATGGAAAAATCATATGTCGACTTAAAAATGGTAGCTTCTACAATCAATTATTTGAGAATTTTATTTATGCTAATTGTATTAGTAAATAGTTTTTAATGTAGTTATAATTAAAGCCATGAAAAAATTTATAGTTCACAATTCTTAATTTCTTGAAAATTTACTTTTTTCTTACAAGTATCTTTTCTGGTTAGAAGATTCTTTAGATCTAAAAGAATTCTAGACTTCATCTTAGCTCTTTAAATTTAAAGTCATCTAACATTAATGGTTAAAACTTTCCGTGCCTTATATTTATTCTGGCATACTATTTATTAATTTACAAAAATCCTCCCTGAATAATACTTTGACAAAGCTTGCTATTTATATTAAAAAAATTGTATGGATCAATTTTTGTACTTTCCAGGTCATAACATTTAATGCGACAACAAATATAAAAATTGAAATACGAGATGTAGCTAGAGTGACACGGCCATCCATAGAAAAATATAGCAAGGACACTTGGTCCGGAGAAGAGCTTGTCATCCCACCACTGCCCCCTTCATTTTTGACTGGTTGTAAAATCATTAACATTATCTATATGCTACAGGTAGGATCAATAGTTTTTTGTTCCCTACTGCCTATACTGTATTATCTATATATATAATTTTCTTCATGGAGACCATAGAAAACACCACGCAGCTTAGCCACCTTCCTCATCGCCACCTTTCAGTTGAGCTGTGGTTCACCCTGAATGTTTACAATAGTAGAGCCAGTTTGAATGTGACGCTGATTAGGGGCAGATTGTTAAGTTTTTAAGCTATGTGAAAGAAAGGGGAGATAATAAGTTCTGCTTGATATTTTCATTGTCATCTGTAATTGGCTGCTTTCACTGGGCGGGGTGGGGTAGTGTCGAATGCACAAATTATGAATTGTTGATAAGTATAAAATAAAACAACTAGATAGCTGTGTATGCTACATCGCGGGTCAGCTTGTAATAAAATATTTTAAGTCTGAGATTTTAATAAAACACACATTTTTTTAAATTTTATAGAAAATTTAAATAGGATGCTAAAATGTAGTTTTTGTTCGAAACTTGTTAACATGTTACTTTAAATTCTAAGGTCAAGTCCTAAATATGTATTAAAAGACCTGGCCATGTTCTGAGACAGGGGTCGGCAACCTGCGGCTCGCGAGCCGTATGCGGCTCTTTTGGCGTCGAGTTGCGGCTCTTCAGCTCCATGCACAAATATTGATAATTATTTTATTTTATTTCCAATACTCATTAAAATATAAGTCTGCAACACTCGGTAATAAACGACATAACAATAGATATAAACAATAAACATTCACTATTCTATTTGAATATTTAGTTACTCCCTATCTCAGTGTACTTCCTAATACAGTATCCATTCCGAATTGAAACATTAAACCAGCTAAGTGTAAAACTGAAAGGAAAACCCAGCTTATGTCTTGCTTGAAGAAGTGGTTTGTTTTGAAAAAAAAACACCTTTTTTTTGTTGAATACATGGTGAGCGGTAAATTACTTAATTACAAAAAATCTGAAAAAATATCGTTATGAAACCAATGCTACTATTCAATCACTTCAGCATTAATATAAACAAAATGAAGGGTTTTTTCACTTTGAGATTTGAGCAATTCAAAACAAATGCAAGTACTCTGACTTACATAGTAGATCCTCTCAACACAAATGAGAGTATCTCATATATTCAAAGCTATTTATTTTTTAAATTATATATATATATATATGTATATATATATATATGTATGTGTATATATATATATATATATGTGTATATATATATATATATATATATATATATATATATATATATATATATATATATATATATATATATATATATATATATATATATATATATATATATATATATATACTAAACAAATTTACTATTGACATAATTGGTGGCTCTTTAAAAACCGGGTAATGTTGAAAATTGTAACTTTTGGCTCTTTCATCTCAAAAGGTTGCCGACCCCTGTTCTGAGATGCTATGAACATTTTGTCTCCACCAGCTGACTGTTGATCCATCAGGACTTGGTCTAGACCTTAACGTCCCCTTGGAAATCATTATTGGCAGCATTCCTCATGTGTCAGTGGCACAGATGTACCAGCCTAAATTATCCCCACCACAGACAATGGCCCTGGGTACCAACTCGTCACCCACAGACACTGAGAATTTATATCCCAATCCACCACCCACCAGTGCTCCTATCTTAAGTATGTATATATTTTTTAAATTAAAATTTGTTTTTATTGTTAGCTTCTTGTTCACTTTTTTAGTTTGGTAATAAATATTTTGCGTGTTGCTAGAAATTTTATGCAGTTTAGCCTAATAATTACTCCTTGTTTTAATGATAAAGTAATCAAGAAGTACAAAATCATTAAAGTCTTATAAACTAACACAAAACTGAGTGGAAAAAAAATGTAGGTCTGACAAATTAATCAACAATAAATAGGAACTGATAATTTTTTAGAACTTGTCTTCATCAAAATTATAATTGAACTAAAATATCAGCATGATTTCTCCTATGTAAATAATGTAATTGTTTTGTTTATGATATCAAAGTGACATGCTGAATTTTGTGTGTTCAATGGATTTTTTTTTTCAAACACTCATCTAAATCCATGTATATTTTAGCTATTTATGTCATTAAGCTATTATTATCTTATTAATACATTATACCCAAGCATAATAAAACAAAATTAATACATTATACACAAGCAAAATAAAACAAAACAGTGACCTTTTGTATTAGCCCTATGTAATCTAAATTCGAGGAATCAACAAATTATAAAAATTATTAATGACTTTCAACTTTCATTCAAGCTTTTTTTATTTGAAATTGTTCTAAATCAATAAACTCATTTATAAAAAGATACTCTGACTTTTTGAAAGCTAATGTTTTTCTTGTGTGTTTGTGTGTAAAATATTGTTGCCAGATTTTTCTCTAGCTGATCAAGTTTCTGGATTTGTCAAATAATCAAATTTAGCTTAAATGTTCTACAAACAGTAAGTTCCCCTTTCAGACCTATTGATCCATCAGGCAGTTGAGGTAGCGTTGATAGTCTCTCATCCCCAGCATATCCACAAACAGTACCAATATACAAAACAACAAGGATAACAAAACTACATCTTTTTGCAGATAATTTTTATTTTCTTCAACTCCCAAGTTGTGAAAACTAATAAACATGGCTTAAGAGTTAATCTAGCCAGTATTTATCAGCCCAACAGTTTTCAGAATAACTAAAAGAAACCATCACATATAAGAAGGTACAACACATTAACAGGTTTTTAAAACAAACTGTCTTTTCAGCTCCCTATTCATTTGGTGAATCTACCATTGGCCACTATAAGATGACAGAAGGATGTGACCTACTTAGGTCGAGTCATTTTTATTTTGACATTGTATAATTCCTTATATGGAATGATGGTGTAACACCTGGGGTTTTTCCATTGACTATTAAGGTGTTTGAGACATAGAAATTTTCCATTAAAATCTGATTGAATGATTCTGATCAGATGATTATCCCAACCAATGGCGACATGAGTTGAGGATAACCTCCCCTGTCACAGAAGTCTTTAATTGCACTGCACACTCGCAACACGAGGCAGTTTATCTTGACCTGGCAGTCTACGAGGCAGTTTTATCTTGATCAGGCAGCCGTCCATATTGTCCGGCTATAGACTCTGACCATTTGAACGTGAGAGTACTTAAGACCTGTGTGTGCCTTGCTTTCTTAAGTGATTTAGTCTTCTATTATAATATTACTTGTCGCTAAGTAATTCCTGAAGCTACAACAGTGATTGTGTGGCCTGTGGCTATTATTAGACAGTGTAGAAATCTGTGATAGTGTTTTTCCCTGCATTTTGTAAGTTGGGTTTTTGATATTTTATACATTAAATATTTTATCTAGTTCATCTTTGTGTTCTGCCACAACTGTGTTCGCTGATTAAAAGGTCGTATGTAGATTGGATGAGTGTTAATTACAATAGTACCACTAGCTTCCCTAGACATTAAATCCGAGCCCTAGTGGGTCGTTGTGTTAAGTGTTCATCCACTTAGGCCGTAAGGTATTTGCATATGACCCCGAAAAAAGAATCCGGGGACGTTCTCCTTCTATTTGGCTGATAGATAGGGGACGTTACAAAGTGGGGGCTCGCCGAGATTTAGTCTGTCGTTCCAGTTGTTGGTCATATCAGTTAAATACTAAGGTTAGTTGGATTTAGTTGTTTTTCTGTCCAGTAGCGCAGTGTTCTTTCAACGCGCGCAAGCATAGAGTTATCTAGGTCAACAGCCAGACGTGTCACGATAGAAGGTCAAGTACACGGCCCAACGCACCGTGTTAAGTTAGTGAACCTAGGCTTGTTGTGATTTGAAAGTTAGTGTTATGGAGTCTTTTTTGGCTAATCCTACTTTCGAAGATGTCGAGAAGTTGAGTAGAAAAGTTTTGGTTAGTGTAGTTAAGGAATTGAAATTGGATTATTCTGTTACGCAGAAGTCAGAAGTGTTGAGAGATAAAGTTGTTGTTCATTTTATTAATGAAGGGGTATTTGATGAAAGTTTGTTGGCTGGTGTGTTACTCCGCGAGGAGAAAGTTGCTTTAGAGAAGGCATTAAAAGAACAGGAGTTAGAGGTTAAAATTGCTTTAGATAGGAGGAGGTTGGAATCAGAGTTTGGTCAAGTTAGTGATGTTACTTCTCAGGTAGATCCAAAAAAGTTGTCAGTAGGGCAAGTGATTGCCAAATTTGGGAAATTAGTTCCTAAATTTGATGAAACAGATTTGGTTGTTTTCTTTAACTCATTTGAGAGTTTAGCGAAGACATGTGAATGGCCCGAAACTTCCATTACTGCTTTATTGAGCTCTGTCCTTACTGGGAAAGCTGCAAAAACATACCAGGCACTCTCTCACGACGTTCAAAATACCTATAGTTTGGTCAAGACTGCCATTTTAAAGGCCTACGCACTGACGCCCGAGGCCTATCGGACAAAATTCCGAACACTCCGCAAGTTACCCACACAATCATATGTGGAATTTCTCTTTGAAAAGGAGAAAAAATTCTCAAGGTGGCTACACTCGGAGGAAGTTTCTGAGTTTGAGAAACTCAGGTCACTTATCCTAAGGGAAGAATTCCTATCGTCCCTGCCTGAAGAGATACGACTACACATTCTGGATAACAAGATAACTGATATCCAGAAGGCTGCTGAGTCGGCTGACACATATATGTTGGTGCATAAGAAACCACCAGTGTCAGGAAACCGCCTCAACCCCGTGCTTCCCCTTTTTGGCAGCAATCATCCTGTTGGCCAACATTTGAAGGCATCACAGTCCAGAGAGAAACCAAGATCAACTCTCAATCGTCGAGCAGTATGCCAGTTCTGCAAAAGGTCTGGGCATCTTGTCAAGGACTGTTACAAACGTCTTCAATATAACAGAGAGGTGGTGCGTACTTCCGCGCACTATGCTCTATCCCCTCAAGCAGCCAGTTCAACTATGAACTCTAGAATTCAAAAGGACTCTAACCCTAAGTGTCCGCAAGAAGGTAGTCAAGTCTCCACACATTATGTGCAGTCACATTTTGACTGTTCTCGCCACCATCCAGTTTCTGCCGAGTCTACCGATCTCGAGGGATCGAGAAAAGTTGACTTGTCATCTTTTATTGCCGAAGCCATCATTAGCAAACCAGGTGATCCGTTGTCTCAGCGGAATATCACCGTCCTAAGAGACACAGGAGCGTCACAATCACTCCTTTTGAAAAGTTCAATGGACATTACACCTGAGACGAACACCGGAAGGATTTCCATTATCCAGGGAGTGGGGACAAAATCTACTGTCGTCCCTCTACACATGTTTGCCCTGAAACATCATCTCGTCGAAGGTGAGGTCATTTTAGGTGTGATAGATAGTATTCCTGTCCCAGGAGTACATCTACTTTTAGGGAATGACCTTGCGGGAAGCAAAGTATACCCCTGTACGGTTTCAGACCCTTTGTCAACAGTTCCAGATAATGATAATGAACTGTATCCTGCATGTGCGGTGACAAGAAGCCAGACCAAACGATTGGCTGACACAACGTCTGAACCACACCCGCCATCATCGTCAAGAAATTCGACTCCCAAATTGGAGTCTATGCTTCCAGAAAACACAAGTCTGGGCTTACCCCTGAGGATATCTCAGGAAGACATCATTAAAGCTCAACAAGTCGACGCGGAACTCAAAGCAACGGTCGAAAAATCTCTATCATCTGACGATGGAGAATATTTCTCCGAGAACGGCCTTTTCTTTCGTCGCGCTATACCAGTGAATGCCTCACCAGCCGAACCATGGTTGGGTAAAAACCAGCTGTGGGTCCCTCCACCTTATCGGCATGAAATACTTAAGCTGGCACATGACCATCCAATGTCAGCGCACCCAGGAGTCACTAAAACGACGGCGAAGATCAAAGAACTGTTCTTTTGGCCCAAAATGAGAAAAGATGTGTCGCGTTACTGCAGAAGTTGCTCGAACTGTCAGTTGGCCGGAAAGCCAAACCAGACAATTCCTAGGGCCCCTTTGAGTCCGATTCCTGTATTAGAAGAACCCTTTTCAAAAATCGTCATGGACTGTGTAGGTCCCTTGCCTAAAACCAAGGCGGGCAACGAGTACCTACTTACCTTTATGTGTTCAAGTACCCGTTTTCCCGAGGCGATTCCCTTACGGAACATTAAGGCAAAGACTGTAGTCAGAGCCATGACCCGGTTCTTCACTACCTTTGGATTACCTAGAATCGTGCAGACAGATCAAGGCAGCAACTTCACCAGTCACCATTTTCAGGAAGCACTAGCCAAGCTAGGCGTTACCCACATCACCAGCTCAGCCTACCACCCTCAGTCTCAAGGCGTACTTGAGAGGTTCCACCAAACCCTCAAAACCATGCTAAGAACGTTCGCTAATAGTAACACCCAATGGGATGAGTTTGTTCCTTGGATTATTTTCGCCGCGAGGGACTGTGTCCAGGACTCTTTAGGCTACTCGCCTTTTCAACTTGTGTTTGGACATTCTGTCCGTGGCCCCCTGAAGCTGATACACGAACGTTGGACAGGTACCAGTGATCATCCAGTGGAAAACTTCGACGATTTTCACGTTCGACTGAAAGCCGTGTGCGAAATGGCTCACAAGAACTTAAGAAAGGCCCAAGTGAGAATGAAAGAACTGTATGATAAGAGTTCTTGTAAACGAACATTCAATCCAGGCGACAAAGTTCTTGTGTTAGTGCCTAATCTGAACAATGCGTTATCCTTGAGATATTGTGGACCCTTTACTGTGCATTCAAAATTAAGTGATTTGAACTATGTTGTCAATACGCCCGACAGAAGAAAGAAACAGACAGTGTATCATGTTAACTCACTGAAAAAATATTATGATAATTGTAACAATTTTCATTCCACAGCTAAAATTAATTTACCTGTATGTTCAAATGTTTCTGATGATGTGATACATGATAAAATGGAACCCCCAAAATTGGTAAATTCTTCCTTTTTAGATAATTTGAATGTCCACCTTATGCATTTGTCCACAGAGGAAAGCCATAGATTATCTCAGTTATTTGAGACATTTCCCTCTATTTTTGGGGATGTCCCCAAAGAAGCGAAGGTTCCACCTCATGATGTAGACGTAGGTGACGCAAAACCCATTAAACAACACCCCTATAGAGTTAACCCGGAAAAAGCTGCTTTGATAAAGGATGAAATTGACTATATGCTCAAGAATGATATCATTGAGCCCAGTTTCAGCAACTGGAGTTCCCCATGTCTCCTAGTCCCGAAAGACGGTGGATCTTTCAGGTTTGTGACCGACTTTAGGAAGGTAAATGCGCTCACCAAAGCTGATTCCTATCCTTTACCTCGAATAGAAGACGTTATCGATAAAGTTGGTCAGGCTAAGATAATTTCCAAAATTGATTTACTTTCAGGATACTGGCAAATCCCCTTATCTGACCGTGCAAAAGAAATATCTGCTTTTGTAACCCCTAATGGTTTTTATAGATACAAACGTATGCCCTTTGGTATGCGAAATGCTGGTCAAACTTTCCAGAGAGTCATTAACTCTGTCATTGCTGACATAGACCAATGTGAGGCCTACATAGATGATATAGTTGTATTTTCTAATACTTTTGAAGAACATATTGTTCAGTTGACTAACCTTTTTAGAAAATTGTCTGAAGTTAATTTTACTGTAAACTTACATAAAAGTGATTTCTGTAAAGCTTCAATTACCTATTTGGGTTATCAAGTGGGAACGAACCAAGTTCGGCCCATTGAAGCTAAAGTAGATGCTATTGTAAGGTTACCACCTCCCAAAAATTGTAAAGAAATCAAAAAGTTCCTTGGGATGGCTGGTTACTATAGACGGTTCTGTCAAAACTTTTCAGCTATTGCTGAACCTCTTACTGCATTATTGAAAAAGGGTGTTGAGTTTGAATGGTCAAATAAATGTCAAGAAGCTTTTTTAACCATTAAGTCATTTTTATCTAATGCTCCTGTTATGGCTGCACCAAATTTCAGCAAACCCTTTAAACTTGCCATTGATGCTAGCAACTTAGCCATTGGCTCAGTCCTATTTCAAGAAGACAACATGGGAATTGACCATCCCATTGCCTTTTTTTCCAGGAAGTTAAATGAAAACCAAAAGAATTATTCTACTATTGAAAAAGAAGCTTTAGCTTTGGTTTTATCATTACAACATTTTGAAGTCTATGTCTCTTCTTCAACTAATCCAGTCAGAGTGTTTTCTGACCATGATCCCCTGAAATTTACCTCTAAGTTAGGACAGACAAATCAAAGAATATTGAGATGGTGCTTATATTTCCAAAATTTTAATCTGGAAATTTCACACATTAAGGGTAGTGATAATGTTGTGGCTGATTGTTTGTCAAGGATGTAAAATCTTATTGCACACATTGATCATGTGACATGTTTTGTGGTTCATTAAGACCACACACAAGTGTTGTGTTTTAACATGGAAATGAGTGGTATGATTTTTGATTTTTTACAAAATTCCAATTCTATTGAATATTTTGTTTATTTTCAGGTGAACCTTAATTAAAGGTGGTTTTTGGTTATATGTAATCTTTTATAATAATATGTCTCATATGACTCAATTGATATTGTAGCTAGTCATTTAAATAAAGGTCTTACCCTGGCGGGTTTACCACTTTTAATATCCTCATGGAAATATTGTAATACCCTTTTTTGAGAGATTTTGATGTATAATTACTTTTTGAAGGGTTACTCCCCTTTCACCAATTGTAAAAGTTGGAGTTACTTCCCTTTTATGTTCAGGGATATTTTCATCTGGTATTATGATTTTGATTGCCTACATTTGTAAAACATTTTTGTTATTTCATTGCCAGATTGGTCCCTTATGTATGTTTTTGTGGAACCTATCTGTCACTTCCAAAAAGGGAGGGGATGTGACCTACTTAGGTCGAGTCATTTTTATTTTGACATTGTATAATTCCTTATATGGAATGATGGTGTAACACCTGGGGTTTTTCCATTGACTATTAAGGTGTTTGAGACATAGAAATTTTCCATTAAAATCTGATTGAATGATTCTGATCAGATGATTATCCCAACCAATGGCGACATGAGTTGAGGATAACCTCCCCTGTCACAGAAGTCTTTAATTGCACTGCACACTCGCAACACGAGGCAGTTTATCTTGACCTGGCAGTCTACGAGGCAGTTTTATCTTGATCAGGCAGCCGTCCATATTGTCCGGCTATAGACTCTGACCATTTGAACGTGAGAGTACTTAAGACCTGTGTGTGCCTTGCTTTCTTAAGTGATTTAGTCTTCTATTATAATATTACTTGTCGCTAAGTAATTCCTGAAGCTACAACAGTGATTGTGTGGCCTGTGGCTATTATTAGACAGTGTAGAAATCTGTGATAGTGTTTTTCCCTGCATTTTGTAAGTTGGGTTTTTGATATTTTATACATTAAATATTTTATCTAGTTCATCTTTGTGTTCTGCCACAACTGTGTTCGCTGATTAAAAGGTCGTATGTAGATTGGATGAGTGTTAATTACAATAGTACCACTAGCTTCCCTAGACATTAAATCCGAGCCCTAGTGGGTCGTTGTGTTAAGTGTTCATCCACTTAGGCCGTAAGGTATTTGCATATGACCCCGAAAAAAGAATCCGGGGACGTTCTCCTTCTATTTGGCTGATAGATAGGTTAACGTTACAAGGAGATAATGAATACACATTCACAACAGGAAAACTTGAATACTCCCCAGTTTATCCCTACTACAATTTTGGACTCACAGCAGGAGCACCGCCAGAGGGATGTTCAAAATCTTAGACTAGAAAACATCAGTCACTTTTGGTTGTATGTTTATCTGTTACTTCTCTCATGTTTTAAGTTGTTTTCTTAAATTCACATTCAATAAAGTATTTCTTTTCTGATAAATTATAAAAAAAACATAAAATTGTTTGTTCTCTTCTTTACAACTCTTACATTTATTATTGGACTAATTGTGTATAAAACTGAAAATACATAGGCCCCTATATTTGATGCATTTATTTAAAACTTATTCTTGTAGACATTTTTAGTGTCAAGAGATACTGCTACCCTATTATAAGCCATAAAACAATGTATTGTGTCAACACCTTGTCTTCTTTGTGATATTTATGCTGTGAAAACAAATATGTAAGTAAGGATGTTTTGCCTGCTGTATTGTTATCCATGCCACTTATTTTTACCAAAGATCAAAAGATAAAGAAAAAGATTCAAGTGAATCTCTAAGGAAAGCATGAGGTTTACTAAAACTGTGAACATCCTTTTATTTTCTTACCTTTTTAAATTATCAATACTTTCAATAACTTACTGTTATATTTCCTAAACAAATGTATTTATTATGTTTGTTTTTTTTTAATATTAAATGCTTTCCCAATGAAATTTTTTTACAATTTTGTGCAACAGAAATATAAATCTGATAATGATACTAAAAGCTCTCCCAATTATTCTGTTTTTACACACAACAAATTTTACCTTTTTAAATAAAAACTTTTAAATCTTGAAATATGTTGTTTATAATGGTTTACTCATCTCTACCTAATCAATATAAAAGTAAAGCCAAATATTCTTTACTTTGTACAAGTGCAATTAGATCTTGTGAACTTACATACCTGAAGCCTCATAGTGACCTCTCACCTTTACTGGGATTGGTTGAATCTTTCTGTGACATTTCACTTATATATTCACATTAATTGTGTGGGTAGCCAATCTGACTGAGTTTTCAAATGATATTGTTCTTATAATGTATCAAATGTAAAATCAGGTTATATTGAGTTATGTTGATGCTACCTTACATAAGCATCACTTATGTAGCCCATAATGTAACATTATTTGTTTGGGTTTTTCTTGCATAAAAATATGTGTGTTTGATCTTAAATGTTTGTAAAATCTTTTTATATACGGGGTGTATTTTAAACAATAGCAAAAATGTAGCAGTCTCACCCCAATAAACAATTTATAATCTAAGTATCTTGTTGTTCTTGGGCGGGTGGGGTGGCCAACGGGGTAGAAACGTAAAGGCTAGTTTTGAGATGCATTATTTTAAGACTACTACTTGGTTTAACATACTGATTAAACTGTTTCCTAAATCGATTGTGTGACACTAGATAAAAACTTTAAACACTGACTGGTAAAGAACGTGGGGGGGGGGGGGGGGGCGCCCGAATAGGCTGCTACGCCTCTGCCTCAGTGATGATACTTTATAAAGAGAGTAGTAGTTTCTATGAAGATATGGTACCACTTTTAAATTCAGAGACCACTTTTGTGGTTATGTTGGATATTTTTTGGAACAGTACCATGTTTTACATTTTTAATATAATTACATTTATCCATACTGGATGAGAACCTAGTCCATCTCTGTATACAAAAACACTTTAGTTTTCAGTCAAAGCAGAGTTAACTAGGCCTACACAATCTGAACACAAAAATGCATTAACATACTTAGGATAGAGATTGTGACTGTACAGCCTTGAATTTCAGTCACACTTTATTAGAAACATTGCACTTAATTTGGAACACGTTTCAAGCAGGTGCTAACACAAGCCGGAGAAAATAAATGATTGTATTTAAATAACAGTGAGGAAAAGCGTGGGTCGCTATATTCTCTATTGAATACTTTTACTTTATTTTAAAACTAGAAGCATATTCTTGTCGCTCATAGTCATAGGTTTTGAAAAATATATAGCCTACAGTTTTGAATAAAATGCCTATGAGTAAATAATATGGACGCTGTAGGAAATATACACAAAATAAAATTTACATCAACCACAAACCCAAACAAAATTAATACAAAATATTATACAAATATTTGAAAAATTGAAAACAATTTGAACTTTAAAAGTTTAATGCATTTGGCCAAAAAGTACGAGACAACCTCCCTTTTGTTATAATCTTCAAGTGTGGCGAAAATGAATCGAATCTGAGCGCGCGTTTAGATTTCTATACCGGACAATCAATCATGACAACCGTACGTACGTATGGAACAACTTTAACATTTTATATTATTATATAGACCCTAATATAAAAATAAATATATACATTTTTAATTTGTATCATTTTTATTTTCATATAAAGTAAAGACTAAATTGCACTAAAAATGATTACATTTATTCTTCGCCCAACCGATCCTACACTATCTTCGCAATATTAATACATTACTGTGTAAGCCTAATAGTTGCTGAGGAAAATAAAACAAAAAAAACATTTTTATTTTCAGTGCATTTAAAAGATTATTATTTTTAATGTTTTTTTAAATCTGTTTTCTTTTTGCGTCGTTTAAATAAAAATTCTCATTCCCGTTAAAATATTAATGAAAATCTTATTGGAAAGTGTTTAAGATTTTCCGTTCCAGAAAGGTCGGAGATCATTTCCGCTCAGCTACTAAGCGACCGAATAACATTTATTTTAACATTACAGTTACATTACGACACCTATAATCATAATAATGACTTTATAATTCTCAGATGTGTTCAGATGTCATTTCCGCTTGGTTGTCGGGTGACAGAATCATAATAAATACATTACACATGCCCTGCCCCCTAATAAATAAATGAAATTAATTGTATACATTTCTACTTCTAATAACTAGTAGTAGTACTAGTCTAGTAGTTATGTAGTAGTTAGTAGTTCTACGTTTGTAGACACTACACTACTAGACTACTAGTACTAGAAATACTACTAGATCTACTAAGAGTGAGACTAAGAACTAGTAAGTGCTAAATGACTAAATATTTAAATAATATTATAATAATAACTATGACAAAAGGCTTTTAGTATTATATAGGCCTATATATTTTAGTATATATATATATATATATATATATATATATATATATATATATATGGGGGAAGTGACACCATGAGTTGCCGAGCTGGGTGAAAATAGGGTCAACATAGGCTATATAGTTGCAATTGGTGTCAACCCTCCCATTTTGCCTAATGGCGTCAATTTGTGCGCAAATTATATTAATCCTCCTTTTAATTCATTTGGAAAAAACACTGTTTTCAGCGTAAAATTATTAGATTTTGGTGTCAAAATATATATCCTCTGTAAAATTTTGCAATTGGTGTAACCCCTCCCCCGGGTGATAGGTTTTAAGCGCGCACAGTTTGAAATAAATAATTTTATCAGCTATTAATACAGGTGGATTAACTCTACTTAATCATTAACTCAGAATTTCTTCCAGGCATCTCTTCGGGGGGGGGGGGGATTTTTACCGCGCCCCCCCCCCCCCCTCCCACCTCCGAACGAAATGAAATTTATATAATTTATATAGTAAATATATACTTTTAACAGTGCCCCCCCCCCCCCCCGAAGAAAGTCTACCGCCCACCGAAAATTTTAAGTGCCCCCCCCCCCCCCCAGAGAAAAAAGTCTGGAAGAAACACTGCATTAACTAAACTGACAAAAAGCATATTTCTTTTATATATTGTGCAAATGTTTCTCCATGGTGGCACCCCCTTAAATGGTGTCACCCGGTGTGGTCCGCACCCCCCGCCTCACGACGCCTCTGCCTAAGCTTACATGAACTCACAATGCCCCCAGTTGTTTTTTTTTACCTACTTGCTATTTTAGGAAAATATCAGATGCTCATGCTATGTAGTAAGCTATGGGTATACTCCTATTATTACTTTTTAAACCTTTCTGAATTGTTTGGTTTTGTTCTCAAGCACCTTTGTAAAAACGTGAGCGGGCTAGATATTTAAAAATATAGTCAACTGAGACCAGACTTTCTTCCAGGCATCTGTCCCCTCCCCCGAAGAAAGTCTACCGCCCCCGAACGAAATGGAATTTATATAGAAAATATATACTACTTTGTAACAGAGTCCACCCCCCCCCCCCCCCCCGAAAAATATCAAATGCCCCCCGGAGAAAATAGTCTGGAAGAAATTTTCTCTCGTTAACAAGAAAACGAGAGCGGGCGATCACAGTAGTACAGCAACGATATTTGAATTTTAAAATATATGTATATATATATATATATATATATATATATATTTATATATATGTATATATATATGTATATATATATATATAATGTGTGTGTGGTGTGGTTGCGTGTGTGTGTGTGTGTTGTTAGTTGTTTTAAACTTTTTTGTAAGAAGAGTCGAATAAAGCAAAGGGGTAATCCATAAATGACGTCACGCTTATTTTGACGATTTTTACCTCCCCCCTCCCCTCCGTCACACATTGTCACAAAACAAAAACCAGACCCCCCACCTAAAATGACGTCACAACTCAGCTTACAACCCCCTTCAAAATTGCTGTTGAATTTTTTTAAAACATCGATATTTTTCCAAAATCTTGTCTGAGCTCTTTCAAAATAAAGAGTTTTAATCAATTCATATTAGATTTTACAATTTAGTAAAACAGTTTTCTAAAACGCAAGATAACGTCTAAAATTTGTATTCTAACATTGCTTTTTTATAATGCAAAAGTGTGATGTCGCACCATCTGAACTCCCCCCCCCCCTCCCCCTTCATCATACCGTCGCAAAATTACGGACCCCCTCCCCCCTACGAGTGTGACGTCATTTATGGACGACCCCAAAAGTATTATTTGTTAGTACATTTTAAAAATTCACATTACAGGTAGATCTAGAAATCTAGTTAAAGTGACTGCTTGACTAAATCATGGGAAAGTTGAAAACCTTTGAGATATCCTTTGGTAATGGAAGCGGTGTGTACTATCCTGGGAATGCAGTGGATGGTCATGTTACTGTAGAACTTACAGAACCAATGAAAATGAAAGGTTGGTGTGGCGGTTCTAATTTAAGATGTTGAAAATTAAATTGGGTTGTGTTGAATAATTTGAATGTTCTATTTTTATTATTTTTAAAAAGTTTATTTTTAATTTTTAAAGGGATACGATTACAATTTGATGGATCAGCCTTCGTTAAATGGGCTAATGAAACACTTGTACCTAGATTTTTCACTTCGACTGAAAACTATTTTCACCAGGAAAGTCTCGTTTTCGGTATGTAACTTAAAGTACTTGTGATGGTTAAAATTAAATTTTTTAAATCCCTGCTGGTTGGTTCTGACTCGAGGCACGAAAATAGTTCACAATAGTAAGTTGTATCGCCATCATCATGGACTCATAAAACAAGTTCTTAACCCTGTTTTCTCCCCTTTCGTTAAATCCTAATTTATAAAAGCCCAATGTGCGCACATCTCTCTCTCTCTCTCTCTCTTTCTCTGTCCGCAAAAAATTTTCGCCGGACATCACGTCAGAATCGGCAGCGATATATCGAGAATTTTTTACGGACTTTTGTTGAAAATAATATGTTAGATGTTTTAAATGTATAACCACAATTTTACTTAAAGAAGAAAAATAAAAATTTAAGGCGTATTCGAATGTAGAGAAACAGTATTATTTATGCAACCGGAAAAGCATTAATATATGTGAAAAAGAACGCATAAAACTGTGACGTCACTATTGCTTATACATTAACTAATGACGTCATCTGCCGTGTTAAGAATGAAAAGAAATGAACTATTTCATTCAAATTTGATTTAGATCTACGTACACTATGAAATGTATACAATACAATTTTTCCGGACTAAACTCATAAAATTTATTTTATGTATTTGGATTCTAGATCTAGAGATTCTAGATCTAGACTAAATCTAAATCTAAATCTACGCAATAACTAGATCTAGACGTAGACGCTAAGATCTAGATTTAGACTCTAACTTCTCTAAAATCAATTCCAAAAATAAATTTCTATATTAGGACTAAACTATTTCAAGACTTATTTATTTTATACAAAATCTTTGTTTGGAACTGGCTAATTTGGGATAAAAAATTAATCCTAATTTATAAATCCCCACGTTTGCACATCTCTCTCTCTCTCTCTTTCTCTGTCCGCAAAAAATTTTCGCCGGACATCACGTCAGAATCGGCAGCGATATATCGAGAACTTTTTACGGACTTTTGTTGAAAAAAATATGTTAGATGTTTTAAATGTATAACCACAATTTTACTTAAAGAAGAAAAATAAAAAATAAAGGCGTATTCGAATATAGAGAAACAGTATTATTTATGCAACCGGAAAAGCATTAATATATGTGAAAAAGAACGCATAAAACTGTGACGTCACTATTGCTTATACATTAACTAATGACGTCATCTGCCGTGTTAAGAATGAAAAGAAATGAACTATTTCATTCAAATTTGATTTAGATCTACGTACACTATGAAATGTATACAATACAATTTTTCCGGCCTAAACTCATAAAATTTATTTTATGTATTTGGATTCTAGATCTAGAGATTCTAGATCTAGACTAAATCTAAATCTAAATCTACGCAATAACTAGATCTAGACGTAGACGCTAAGATCTAGATTTAGACTCTAACTTCTCTAAAATCAATTCCAAAAATAAATTTCTATATTAGGACTAAACTATTTCAAGACTTATTTATTTTATACAAAATCTTTGTTTGGAACTGGCTAATTTGGGATAAAAAATTAATTTGAAAGAATAGGCATATTCGCGTAAGTTAAGATTTTAAAATACGTGTTTCATTCTCCGTATTTTATAAGGTGCCTAAATAGCGGAGATGTTAGTGTACATTAAACCACGCAGGTGGTGCGGGTTCGAGACACAGCAAGTCAACTTGGTTAATGTATTCTTTTTTATTATGCTCGGGCTAAACTTAAAAAAAAAATTCTTTTAGGAATCTAGATCTAGATCTAGATTGTCGGGTGTCCGATAGGGCACTTCCCGGCGCCGCAGGCGCTTCAAATTTGGCATGATCTTGCCTTGGTGCGACAGAACACGGGGGCCGGTTGGCCGAAAAGTCTACGATGTGGGGGTCAAAACTGACCTCGACTGACCGGTACCTTATATGAGCTATAAATCGAAAAAAAAATGTCCACGGAGGAACCTCTTCATAACTCTTGAGGACGTAGACCGACCTTCGGGCGAATTAATTAAGCATTCAAATTCTCAATGTTTTCGAAAGCCTAAGCGAAGCTGGGCAGCATGCCTAGTGAATATAGATCTAGTAATTTGAAAATAAATTAATTAATAAATTATTAATGTAATATCTAACTGTAATAAAAATGTGATATTTTTGCATTGTCTTCGGAAATTATTTGGAAAGACAGGCAGACGCTCTAAAAATTCTAAAACAGACGTATAATAATATTAAATAATGTTATTGTTATATGTCAGATTTTCAGTTGTTAGTTTTGGTGTCGTTTAGTGTATAATTTATTACCTGTACTAGATCTAGAATCTAGATCTATTATCTTTTAGCAATATAATAATATATAATATATCTATATATTTTTTTCCTTATAAAAACTGATAGGTCTAATTATTTCACACTCTGTATAGGCCCAAATGAAGGCAGTGAAACAAAGGAACTACCATCAGGCAGACACACCTTCCCTTTTCAGTTCATCCTACCACTTGGACTCCCATCATCATTTGAAGCAATATATGACGCAGGGACTTCTTATGTTAGATACTCTGTGTCCTGTAACATTGACGATCTCGACAATGGGATCATGAGACCATTTACAGTCATTTCTCTTTTGGATTTGAACCAGCATCCTGAGAGCATGGCAATAAATTATATCTTTCTTACACTATATATTCTTGTACCATTTCTATGGGTCTAAAACAAATGCACATAAGCCCTTCCTGAATGACATTTTCCCCAAATGGATGTTTGCCAGAAATGCTAAAATTTTCTGAAAGGTTGTTAGTCAGAATGACAATTGTACAAATAATATTAAGGATCAAAATTCATGTGTAAATGTTTTAAAAATTAAACCTTTTTTTTTTTGTTTGTTTTTGTGTTGAAAGAAAAAGAGCGTTATGTAGGGAAAAAAACGAACAAATAATTCAATATTTTTTTAAAACTATCAAACACCTATAAAATTACATTTTATCTCAGATTTTATTTAAAATTCAGTAACATTATCAAGTAAACATCTTAAGGCATTGTCTAAATAAAATAAATTGAATGGATATAAAATATAATCGACTATATTAAATTTTTAGTGTCGGCACATAAACAGGGCCTTATTTTTTGTGAAAGGATCAGCATACAACATTGGCTAAATCTAATTGAATTCACTTTTGGAGACACTGCCTAAACACTGTAGTACATATGAAATACCACCTCAACATGTCGACTAAACATAAATTTAAAAAAACATGTAGTGTAGGACTGTGTTTTGTAAAAACATCAACATATTTCTGTTTTTGGTGTGCTTAACCTTGTGTCAATTATCAAAATATGATATTCAGGAAATATAATTTAGAACTTTTACTTGATTATATTTAAATAATATACATTTTTTGAGCATGTGGTTTTCTAGCTAATGTTCAGCTGCCCACTATATTTTCACACCGTTTCTACATTTAAAACGTTTTTTTTAATTAAACACATTTTTTTCCCTTTAGTTTAAATTACCAAATATAAACTCATCATATTAAATCTGATTATAATATTTCAAGCCTGCAAAAAACAGGTTACTGATAAGGTATCAGCTTTTCAATATTCATTATTAAAATAACAAATTTTTAAAATCCTAGGAAAGTTTACAAGCTACCGATCAGATGCGTTTTACCAGCCTGTGCTGTAAATCTGGACCTATCCAAGCCACCTTTAAAATTGAAAGACAAGGCTTTGTGCCAGGGGAGGCAATTAAACTGTTTGCTGAAATAAACAATGGCTCTAATGAAACTATGGACGCATATGTGGACTTATATATGGTAACTTCTACAAACAATTGATTTATAATTTAGCTGATGCCAATTCAGTGGCGTCGCTAGGTCAGGTGTCATTATTTTCCTTGATTTCAAGAGATTTTGTTTTTACAAATATTTTTTTTTGGCTAAAAGATTCTTTGGATCTAAACAAATTCTGCGCATCATTTTAATGCTAAGTAGTAAGTATCATCTAGCATTAATGGTGAAAAACTTCCTGTGCTTCATTGTTCTAGTTTCAGCTCAATTTAATCAGAGGTCTACTATTATTCACAAAAACCCTGCTGATTAATACTAATAATATTTTAACCAAAGCTTGCTGCTTCTAAAACAAAGGTTACCATTTTATGAATCAAATACTTTCACCAAAGCTTGCTACTTATAAAACAAAGGATACCATTTTATGAATCAAATACTTTCACCCAAGCTAGCTACTTATAAAACAAATGATAACATTTTATGAATCAAATAGTGAAATATTTTAACCAAAGCTGGCTACTTCTAAAACAAAGGATACCATTTTATGAATCAAATACTTTCACCAAAGCTTGCTAGATCTACTTATAAAACAAAGGATACCATTATGAATCAAATACTTTCACCAAAGCTTGCTACTTATAAAACAAAGGATAAACCATTTTATAAATCTAATTTTACTTGCCAGATAAGAACCTATCATGCCCAAGGAAGGTCCAGAAATAATGGGATAATAGCAGCTAGGGTGACATGTCCACCCATAGAAAAATTTAGTGAGGACACTAGGACCGCGGAGCTAGTCATCCCAGCACTGCCTCCTTCTTTTTTAACTGGTTGTAATATCATTGACATTCGCTATTTGCTTCAGGTAGGATATATTGTTTTCTATTCTTTACTGCTGCTGCTGTTTTATATAAAACATTGAGGCTGGAAGTCTAGATTAGAGGAAGTTTTCTGTTTTTTGTTGATTTTTTATAATTAATTTTTTGCTTGTTACAAGAAATGTTATATTTTTATCAATTGTGTAGTAAACTCCATTTTTTACATTAATGTATATGAAGTATAGAGGAAGATTTGTCATTTAATGTAATCGTGTAAAGAATCGCAATCAAGATTTTATGAAAATCTCGATATCAAATTTGTAGTTCTGTATCTTTTCAGCGAATTCTCTGCCTTCTGTCAAATTTTTAGTAATTTCCGTTGACCGGATGTAATAACTTACACTATTTCCGATTCCTACTAATAATATTCCGGACTATTATATATATATTATTTGCCGTTCACTTGTTGCGCAGTTCTTTTTTTCTACGAGAATATGTTATATTTTAAACAGTTTAAGAAGTTAAAAATGGATTAAAAATCATGTCTATATCCTGAGTGGCCCTCCCCCATACTGTTATATAAGAATATTGGCAAACATTTAGGGGCGATCACTCCCGCTTTATTTAATAAAACACTCATTTGAAATTTATAGAAATTTTTTTATTGAATGGTAAATTGTAGTTGTTAGAAACATTCAAACATTTTAATCAAACATTACTTAAATTCTAAGTCCTCAGCTATATTCTATATCCTAAATTCTACTCTTAGGTCTTATCAAGATACAAACTGTTAAATGAAAGTGTATATTTTATCTCCATCAGCTGACTGTTCGTCCATTAGGACTTGGTCTAGGCCCACATGTCCCCTTAGGAATCATTATAGGCAACATTCCCCATGTGTCAGCAGCCCAGATGTACCCACCTAAATCACCCCCACCCCAGACAATGGACAGGGTGCATGCCTGGGGAACTGTCTCTTCACCCCCAAGCACTGAGCTACCACCAAGTGGTATTCCTAACTTACGTAAGTAGGCTACACAGATTTTAATATCAATGTGTTTTTTCTTTAGCTTTATGTTCACTGTTGTTGTTTTTTTTTTTATAATTAATTTTTTTTCTTGTTACAAGAAATGAAATGTTATATTTTTATCAATTTGTGTAGTAAACTCCATTTTTATTTTCTGGTGTTATTGAGTATAGAAAAAGTATTGTTGTCATGGAAAAAAATGAAACAGAAATTTTTACAAATCTCGGCATTTACACCTTCCTAAGTGGGTAAAACTTGACTGCTCATTTCTTGAAAATCTTGTATTTCTGGCACTTTGTGTGATGTGGTACCACTGTAATTGAATTAAGCTGCAATGCTCTACAAATAGTACCATTATCTAAACAAACAAAAAAGAGCAAAATTAGAACTGTTTCCTTTTTCTACGACTCGTTGTTGTGAAAACTTATAAACATGGCTTAATCTAGCCAATATTTATCAGCCCAATTTTTTTTCAGAATGACTCAAAAAAATGAATACCATGTAAATGATATGTGAAAACTGTTCTTTCAGCCCCAATTTCATATGTTAGATTTTGCCGCTACAAGGTTCCAGAAGAAGGAGATGATGAACACACAGCATTATACATGCCAGTCTATCCCTACTACAATTTTGGACACACACCAGTAAAGGTGCAAAATTTTAGATTTTAGACTATAAAAATGTGTCACTTTTGGTTTCATCTCTTTCCTGTTTTTAATGTTGGTCTTTTTTTTTTTTAAATTTTAATCAATATAGTTTTAAACTATTTTTATAAATTTATAATATGATATTCTCTGTTGAGCATCCCCTAACATTCATTATTAGACAAATTATGTATAAAACTGAAAATACTTTAAATATTTGAAGTATCATTTAAAATCTTAATCTTATAGACAATGATTTTTATACTGTAATACAGCTAGCATACTACAAATAATGAAACAACGTATATACCCCTACTATCAGCACCCTGTTTTCCAGTGATATAAAGGGGGTAGGCAACAGTAAAAAAAAAAAAACTCTTTTAATACAATTTTTTTTCTACAGCTTTTTAAAGTTACATTTGAATATGCATTTCTACTAAAAAAAATTGGTAAAAACATTAAATTTAAGACCCCTAAATTCTCCAAAATTTAGTGTTTTTACCGGTTCCAAAATTTGAAAATTTATTAGAAATTATTTTGAAGATCTGCCCTTAAATTTTTAAGCTGAGTACCCCAAAATATGGTAGAAGATTATGAATTCTTTGTTTATTGGGCATAAAATGTAATATTTCATGAATTTTGGAAATACTACAAAGAGGTTATTTTTTTCAATATGGCCGCCGTTGTCATAGTTACTAAAAAAATTATCAATTTTTTTTTTTAGTGGACATGCATATTCGGATGTATCTTAAAAAACTATTAAGAAAAAATTGTTTGCTCTCAAGTATTAAAAAAGTTTTTATTTACTAGAGCCTACCCCCTTAAAGCTGATATTGTCCATAAAGATTAAATAGTTCATGGTTGACCTGCTGTAATAAAACGTTCATTTTGTTAATTTCTTAGGTTGACATTGTCTAGAAACAATGACATTTTTTGGGTTAGCCTGCTGTATAGTTATCCATGTCACTCATTTTTCACTTTTTTTTTTACCAAAGCTCAAAAGAAAATGAAAATGATATTAAAGTGAATCTCTAAGGAAAGCATGGGTTTTATTAGAACTGTCATACATTGTATTTTTTACTTTTTTAAGTGTTGCGAAATTGTTATAACTTAATGGCATATTTATTAAATAAATGCTTTTTTCTTCTTGTTTTTCTACATTGAACTGTGTATTTAAATTTTTTACATTAACTTACTTGTATATTTTCTAAATGAATGTATTTTTCTTCTTGTTTTTCTACATTGAATTATGTAACTTAATTTTTTACATCAACTTACTGGTATATTTTCTAAATGAATATATTTTTTGTGGGCTTTTAAGCTTTTCCAGGGATCTCTTAAAACTTTATTTTAAATATTGTGCAGAACACACATATTAAATCAATATCAAAAGTTTGCCAATGATTCTGCTTTTACACAGAATCAATTTTACTTTTTATTAACTTTTTATTAACTTTTTATTCTTGAAATATATTGCAAATAATAGACACACTCATCTTTACCAAATCAATATAGCAAAAACTTTTTTTTATTTTGTACAAGTGCAATTAGATCTGGTGAACTTACATACCTAAATCCTCAATGACCTCTCACCTTTACGGGGATTGGTTGAATCATTCTGCTGACATTTACTGCTCACCTATTCACATTTCTTGTGTGAATAGCTATTTTGACTAATTTGAAGAAAAAATAACACTTAATGGAAAAATTGTTATAATATATGAGATGTTTTTTGTTGTTGTTGTTATTACAAGTTATACACACTTAACTTGTTGTGCCTACTCTTGCACTGATGCCGCCTACTATTTAACATTGTTGTTTATTGTTTCACTAGAAGTTTATTTGTTGGATTCTTAATGACAATTGTTGTTTTTATGTACAAGGTATGTTTTTAACAACAAACATTTTTAACCCAAATACCTCTGGCAGCCTCACCCCAATAAACAATTTATAATCTAAGTATCTTGTTGTTCTTGGATTGAATGTGCAAGTTCATTGTTTAATGTTGTCCTCAGTGATGATACTATATAAAGAGAGTCGTAGTTTCTATGAAGATATGGTACCACTTTTAAATTCAGAGACCACTTTATGTGGTTATGTTGGATTTGGTTTAGCCTAACATCTTTTACATTTGAAGATCAATTAATGTGGTTAATATTCGATGGTATAGGAATACTGTACTACCTTTTAAATTTGGAGACCATTAACTAAATGTAGGTAGAATTCGATGCTCTATGAATACTGTACTACCTTTTAAAATTGGAGACTACTTTAGAAATCGATTCTGTAGAAATACTGTAGCCCTACTATCTTTTAATGTGGACACTTTAAGGGAGTGCTTTAAGGTTTTGGACTGGAGTAGACACAGGTGAATCCAAAGAATTTTGTTCTCAACTTGTCGCTGACAAAGTCCATACAATACTTCTTCCTTATTCCAATCACAACCTCTGACCGACGCTTACATCCACCGTTACACACCTTCTCACACCCGCTTACAACACGCCCTGTCACTCGACCAGACGCTTGTTACATTCATTCACTCCGTACAACAACATATACATCAACAACAAACCCAGTCTCACAATACAATATACAGTAAGGGTACACACACACACACAAGCAGTTTACAGTTCTCATTCCACATACTCACACCTTTCATACATTTCACATCACCACAAAGACCACTTGATGTGGTTACCATTCGGTTCTTTCAGATGTGGCCAGTTTTTTTTTTAATTTTCTATAGCAACGCTATGGGGTCGTCCATAAATTACGTCACACTCGTAAGGGAGGGGGTCTGTAATTTTGTGACGGTGTGTGATGAGGGGGGGGGGGGGGTTAGATGGTGTGACGTCACACTTTTGAATTATAAAACAGCAATGTTAGAAAACGAATTTTAGCCGTTAATTCGCGTTTTATAAAACTGTTTTAATAAATTTTAAAAGGAATTGATTAAAATACTCTATGTTGACTGAGTTCAGACAAGATTTTGGAAAAAAATATCGTATTTTAAGGGGAAAAAAAATCATCAACTGCTATTTTTGTGTTGTAGGCTGAGGAGTGACGTCATTTTAAGTTATTATATTAAATTAATTGATAATAATTGATTTCGATAAATTTGAAAACCACAATTAAATGTGTAGAGCTATAAATACATATCTACATTAAGAGAGTGATTATCTCCCCTACTGTTGTTCGCTTGTCTTAATACTGTATTTGCCATTGTGTCAAAAAAAAATGTAACAAGGATTACGAAACAAGGAGTGTTGCTTTTCTTATTTTGGTTGTGCTGTGTGTATATTTTGTGTTGTATTTTGTTTTGTGTGATACATTGTTTTGTGATTTAGGCCTACATTGTGTTTTGTTCTTTTGTTTTCTTCAAAGAGTACTTTAAAAATGTGTTTTTCAACGTTGTGAGGCAAAGACATACAACTATATATATATATATATATATATATATATATATATATATATATATATATATATATATATATATATATATATATATATATATATATATGTGTGTGTGTGTGTGTGTGTGTGTGTAAATATATATATATATATATATATATATATATATATATATATATATATATATATATATATATATATATATATATATATATATACTCATATATTGCGCCTTTTAGTCGACTTGCCGCTAGCCTGACCCTAAAACGTGCATACGCCTCTGCTCGCATTCTGTTTCTCTGTTCACAAAAAATGCGTTATCAACTTCACGCCCTATGAATAACAGTTCTAGAATTTTATTTGCTTTTAAAATTACGCTTCTAGACGTTTTAGTCATTGCATTACAATAGCGAGTTGCGCAGCTTGCGCCGTGACCTTTGTTGCCATGGTAATCATGGCTGTACCTTGAACCTAAATTCCATGTTTCCGGTTGCCCATTGGTAATTAAGGCCATGTCGCTTAAGGCGAAACCACAGCACACCTGATCTACGCATGACACAGTGCGCATCTTTGTTTTAACCTCAAGAGGATTTAGATTCAAAACCTAATTTAATTTTTGGATCTCGTTTATTATCTTACAGAGGAGCAATGTGCTGAAATATGAGGTAAGAATCTATAAATAATAAAGTACTTAATATTTACATTGACATGCCCAAATGTTGACTAGACTAATAATTGGGTCTTCTAAAATTAACCTATATTTTAAAATTACGATTTCAATGGTCCGCAAGCCTAGGAAGGCTCACCGCGATAGAGCCTTAATTTCGCGCCAAATTTCCTGTGATTCTTACATTATTAAAATATCGCATTACTTGATTACTATTGATATACTATAGGCCTACTAATAATTAATAATTTAGTTTAAGTAGCCTACATTACATTTACTAAATTATTACGGTTGATTAGGACAATTAGGTCTAGATCTAGACTTTACATTAATTTAATTTTAAGATTTTTACACAAGTTGACTTAAATCTAGATTTCTAGATCTAGACTCTAGAAAATTTAGACTCTAGTATAGTTAGGCCTATAGATTCTAGTAGTAAATAGGCCTAGAATAGATCTATTCTAGATATTATTAATAAGATAGATAGCCTAATAGATTCTGGATTTAGAAAAACGAATCCAGATTACTAGCTCTATTGATCTATAGTAACTAGATCTAGTCTAGATCTAGATCAGATTAGATTTAGAATAGATCTAGATCTAGTAAAAAATAATCTAGCTTTAGGCCTAGATCTAGTTTAATTCTAGATCTAATTTAATCTATAGGCTAATACTAATAGGGCCTACACTAATCTAGATTCTAGTAAGAAATAAAAGGTGCTAGTTAATTTTGATATAGATCTAGATTCTAGATTTAGACCTAGATCTAGATCTAGAAAAGTTAATTAATTATATAATTATATGTGTTCATCTAATTCTGCATTAATTATTAAGTAGGACTAGGCCTATATCAATTCATTAATTAGCCTATTTATTTTAATTCAGTACATTTAGTAGATGAACACAATCATTTAATCATTATGTTTGATTAGGTCATACAAGTACTAGATCTAGTCTAGATCTAGATTCTAGATCTTGTAAAAATAGTGAGACATTGTTAAATGGTTAAGAATAGATTTAGACTAGTGCAGGTATAATTCTCCATCAAGTAGGCCTATATATTTAAATTAATGTAGGCCTATGTATATATCCATAATTACTATTAATTAGGCCTATTAAGGACAATTTTAGTACTTGATAATTTTATTAATTTAATTCTAGACTTGTGTGCCTAGAACTTGGGTCAGTTTGTTTTCTTTGTACATCTTATTTGCTTATAGGCAAGACCAACAAGGTGTAAGAAGGATTGCTAATGTAATCAGAAACTTGATGGCTGAGATAAAGCGGCTGAGGAGAACAGGCTTGTGACTGGGAATAGGTTGGTGGAACTTGTGTACAGCCCTTTCTATGTTCAACCCATGTCTCAGGTGGAAGTACATTCAGTAAGTATGGAGACTGACTTTATTTCTAATGTTTATATTTATTTTATATAGTTTGCAATATGTTGTGCTAGATATATATTTTGTGAAATGGTCTGCTAAATTCTAATTCCATTTGCCCTTCTCTTTTCAGGTACAGTTTTCATGGAGATCCAGCTTTATTCAAGGCTCATCTTAAAGAGAATGATGTGGCTGCTGGGACATAACTTAAGTCTACATTCAACTGCTTGCAGATCTCAAGAAGCCTGGGGTTCTCATGCAGCGCTGCA